ATTAGGGTCCGGCTTTGGCTCATCCTCACTCAAAATCTTCTTTTTCGTCCTCATCATCTTTCCACGTTCGATTCTCCTTTTGGCTCCCAATCCATCATCTGCTTCTCTTTTACTCCCATGCTTTGTCTCCAAGCACCAAGAGTCTTGAAATCCCACACAACCTCTGAGATCTCATCCTGAGGCAAGGTCAGACCCTCGCGTTTTATTGACCTATGCAACTCACAGAAGAATTTAGGGTCTTGTAGCTTGATGTACTCCTGCAAAACTTGCTCATGATTTGGGATCCAATTCCTAGGGAATGGAGTATAGTCACATGATGGAATCAAAGACATGCGAGAGAATTGTACTCCTTCTATAGCATCGACGAGTCCCATTCTCAGAAGATCAGAGTACTCAGGTGCAGAATTATTGCTACTCTCGCTTAATGGATGGCTAAGATCCCGTGAGGCTATGCTGTACACTTTGGCACGAGATTTAAGCCTATACCTTGCAGCGTATAGTTTAGCCAAAGAGCTTCTAATTACATAAGCACAGAATCCAACAGCCTTCTTGCGATTGTCTGCATATTTGTACCAATCAGCCATTGTTTCAAGAAACTTATTCATCTGAGAGTTACTATGAGACTGGCTTGAATAAAGCATTGGGTTACAAGGCAAAGGCTCCGGATCTTTGTCACCTTTAACAAAAGCAAGCCGCCTAAATTGGCGGATACATTGTTCTAAACTAGCAGACACAGAAAGCAAAGTTCCCACGCCCTTTTTGCTCACAATGCTGCCTCCACTTCCTGTGTAACGGAGCGTAGGGTAAATAACTCTTCTGCAAATTATGTGGTCCAGAAACTGAATACCCCTGCTTATATGTTCAATCTCTAACTTTGAATTGTCCAACCTCAAACCGAAAACTCTATCGCAAAACTCAATTATCTCCTTCCTCATCTTTACTGCATCCTCTCTAGGCCCTCTAATCCCAATCAGAAAATGCCCTCCATGCCTAATATAATCCATTTTCCTGGTTTTCTCCTTGCCACTTGATGGAACAAACTCCGGCCAGGCTGGGTTATGACAACCATCTTCAATAGACTCCTTCCATATTGAATCATCTTTACAAGGTCTAAAATACTCAACGATCTTCGCTTCCATAAAGCGATCCAGCTCATTAAGACATACATTAGCAAGCAAAGGACTCAATATGCCACAGTAGCCATAAGAAGGTACCTTTGCAGCTTCCTTAGGAGCAAAACTGTAGAAAGTCCTTAGCCAATAAGGATCCGGCTTTGGCTCATCCTCACTCAAAATCTTCTTTTTCGTCCTCATCCTCTTCTCACGTTCGATTCTCCTTTTGGCTCCCAATCCATCGTCGTTGCCATTTCTCTCGCCGAGGCGTTTAAACACTCTCTTATCAGGCGTTTTCAAAGAGGATTCGATCAAACCGAGAACTTTTCTATCCTTGACAACCTTTTGAAGACAATCCATCACTACATCGACATCAACATGATCCAACAGTTCACTAACATCACATTTCATGAACCACAAGTATCCAGCGAAATTACTCCTGATAGTTCTAATCACAGTATGTGGATTTCTACCTGGTCGAAACCCATGACTCTTACTCGAGAACCTAGCCTCGAAGAAAGGTTCGAGAATCATCAATAGAACCTCGTGGACCACACGATCTTGAAAAATCGGTTCTTCCGTCTCCATGATCCTTCTTAGCTTCCCTTTCGACATGGGTTCTCCTCCACTAGCCGAGGCTTTATCGCTAGGGCTCCTCACGAACTGATTCATCTTGTCGTTCCATCGGAATTGACCACCGGAACGCGTGACGGCGCTTTGGAGGGAGAGAAGCGAGCGGAGGGCGTTGGAATGAATGGCATTGCGCGGCGGGAAAGTTCCGGTGACGTGAGCACAAGTTCGTTGATAAGCTAAGACCCATAAGTCGAATTTAGAGAGGAAACCTGTGAGGTTTGAGAAAGTAGCAGAAGGAGGAGAAGAGAATGATTTGACCCAGAGGGAGAGACAGATATCGACAGGATCTTGCTTGAGCAGTGAATACGGGTCCTGGGTAGAAGAAGCTTCTTCTCGTGTCGATTGGCGATTTGGGTGGATCGAAAGGGAAGAGATTGGCTTGAGGAAGGAGTTGCAGGACAAGTGTTCGACGATATTCCTCACCGGACTAAGAAGATATGTCAGTCTTCTCATTCTCTACACCTGATTGACTAGAAGGCGGACGCGTAATTGTCATGGAAGAGTTTTTCAAATACTAATTATGACCCAATGTTTTGGGAATGTTACAAGTTAAGCCGTAGGTTTTGAAATCAACAACTACACCCTAATTTGTTTTTTTTGTCGAATAAAAGAAGTAAGAACCATACCCTATATAAGCCAACATTTCTGTAAATATTATTGATAACTTAATGGAGAAAAGGTCTATGTATTAATATTTTTTTCAACTAGACCTATTTCTTAATTATAATTCACCGTATAAAGTAAAATTAACAAAAATGGTTTGTAGTGAGAATTTGTTAGTTTTTTTTGTCAACAACAATCACATAGATTTGTTATATATTTCATATATTAAATATGCAAATTTAACGAGGATATGTCAGTTTTCTCATTCTCTACACCTGATTGACTAGAAGGCGAATGTGTGATTGTCATGAAAGAGTTTTGCAAATACTAATTACACCCCAATGTTTTGGGAATGCTACAAGTTAAGCCATAAGTTTCCAAATCAACAACTATACCCAATTTGGTTTTTTGGTCGAATAAAAGAAGAACTATACCCTATACATATAAGCCAACATTATGTAAATATTATTGATAACTTAGTAGAGAAAAAGTCTATGTATTAATTATTTTTAACTAGATCTGCTTCTCAATTATAATTCACAATATAAAGTAAAAACTAAAAAAATTTGTTTGTAGTGAGAATTTGTTATTTTTTTTTTTATCAACAACATTCACATGGATTTGTTATATATTTCATTTATTAAATATTCAAATTTTAGTTCAATTGGTAAGATACGTACAACTTTTACATAAAACACTTCTTTTTTTGTTTAAAGTTTTGGTTAAAATTTTTTGTTTCTTCTGTAAAAATGTAAAATCGTATCTTATTTTAAAAAAAAAAACTTAGTAGAATCATATTTCAGTTTGAAACCCCATGAAATTAAAGTTCATTTTAGCACCTTAGAGAGATTTGGAGTAGGTGAAAAATATAGGTCCATAAAAAAGCAATCTAGAAAAGCTAGAGGATGCAACTGGTCATAATAAATAAATGTTGCCGGTGTTCAACCAACTAAAAAACTAAATCTGGACTTAAAATTGTACCATGTATTTGTGCACATATTGTACATAACACATCATATCATACATATTATCGATCCATTTCATGATTATTAGATTTTTCTAGGAGTTTATAGCTTCTCGTTATTGCTTTATCTCTGCACACCAGCTGATTTATATCTATTATCCAAATATTTATGTTGCTTCTTTTCTTAAAAAATGACTTTCTATTCACAAATTTGTTCATCGAGAAAAACATTTAATGGTATCATTTCAGAGAGGACTGAGGCTGAGAGCAAAAAGAAATGCGGCGATGGATTGTGAAATAACAAGCTCTCTCTATATCTCCTTGTAATAAACTCTAGCTGAGATAAAAATCAGATTCATGAATAGAAAGTCACGTATTTGATAATCCATCGTTGTGTATTTCCACTTTTGTTGCATCTCATGGTTATGAGATTTCTTGAGGAATTTGTCGGTTAATTTCTGTGACCATTTTTTCATTAGCCAACCAGTTTTTCATTATCCAATTTGTTTATTCTGAACACAAATTCACAAAAAGACAAGAGTCTTAAAAGCCCTAAGTTCATGATAAATCTAACTAATAGAGCCTTAAAAAACTAGTCTTTTATTATCTCTCTGAACAACATGCCATTTTTCATGTTCACTTTCTATGTCACTCTTCAAAGTATACATTTGGATATTCATTACATCACTATAGAATGTGCAATCAATTACATGATATCATATTTACTGACAAATACATAATGTATGTCTATGTATGTGCATGTAATCCACTAGGTCCACAATCAGAACATGTATATTACTAAAGCTTTTTTCTGTTAACTTTGCAATTTCAACTGATGCTGACCTTAATTTTTGTATACAGTCGTTTCAAGGTCTGACTCCCTTTTTCTGAGTGAAAATAGTTCTAATTTCAACGATATTTGAAGTTTTTCAGTTTTGCAGTTTTGCAGTTTTGCAGTTTTCAGTCTATAAACAACTATCAGATTTGAAAAAAAAACTACAATATATATTTAATATTGTACAGAGCTACATAGCCAAATTGAGATAATTGTTTCAGCCCAATTTAATCACCAAATACCTCAAGTCTGGAGTTTTCATGGACAAAATCCATCTATTTTAACGCAGTTTCATTCGAGCTATACTCTTCTTGTATTGCAAGGTGGACCACAATCTCAGTTTCAATGGGTGAAATCAAAACTAACTAAGACAATTCAGAAAGTATACACATTAGTGATTTTATGTGTTAATCTTTTCTGGTTTTCAATTATAATCCGCAAGTTTTTGGTTTTCTAAAACCAAAATTAAGAAATATTGTTTCTAGTAAGAGCTTTTTAATTCTTTAGGTGGATGTGTTATATGTTTTAGCTATGTAAAATACAAATTTGAGTTCAAAAGATAAAATAGGTACAACACTTATACAAAGTTAAATGTTCTGGTTGTGTAAGAAATAGGAATTTGTTATATGTTCCCACTAGAGTTTTACCACTTTCCTTTTGGAACACTTTTAAGTATTAATTAATCCAAGTATCGTTATCACCAAGTTCAAATTATATGTATCATTATCTTTATAAAAAATCAGATGACTATTTTTAATATAAAATGTTTAATTATATTTTATTACTTTTTTAGAAAATAAGTGTTTTTTGAAGGAATAAGGAAAAACGAACAAGAAAAAAATTGGACAGCTTCTGTTGGGTCAATGCTTCTTAAGAAGTTGCCGAAAGATTTCAGAGAGACTTCTGCTTAGGCTGCTCCTGAGGAAATCGCATCTTTTTCTCCGGTCGTTATCTCCCGGTTCGACGGCATCATCTGAACCCTAAGCCGATCATCAATTTGACGGGGGATCTGAGCATGTCGAAATCTCTACCATATTCTGTGAAAGATGTTCATTACGACAATGCCAAGTTCAGACATCGATCTCCTTTGAAGGTTGGATCTTTTTCTTTAGATCTTGATATGTGTGATATGGGTTCTGTCCAAGTTTTCTCTTTTCTTTTGATATATACATGTTTTGATTGATTTCATGTCACCACTTCTTGCTTCTGGTGTGGGCTTTGTTTTACGTTAGTGGCTTTCTGTGAAAATTGACCTGGGAACCATTGGAGTGAAAACACACGAGTATTTAACATAGCTCTTAATTTTGCAAACTCAGTGAGGTAAATTTTGACAGGGTTTTGGAACCATGGATTCTGAGAGTTACACAAAGCTAGATTTGGAATTGCTGCAAGAGTCTTAGATTTGGATATTAGTTGTATGCTTTCAGGTTAAGATAGAGATTATCCTTCAAATTGATCATCTCTCAGGCATCACTCTTTCTAGTGACTTGTTCTTTTTTCTTGTCAAGTCTTTAACCATTCTCCTTTTTCTTTCCTTTAACTTTCCACGGTCTGACCGACCAAAAGCCATTCTCATTTTGATCTAACTCCACTTTTGGTTCTGTTTCGTTTGTGCTTATAGTATATACAGTCCCTAGTTTTAGATAATCTTCATTCAACATGCTAAGGCTTCTTGATGTAAGACTCCTGAAACATTTTTATAAAGTGAGCTGTAAAAGATTTGCCTAGACGCATTAAGTGAACACGCAGAAAGTGTTATTTTTAGTAATGGAATGGCTTGAAGCTTTTCTGATTGTATCTTTTTATGAAATGTGGTCTTGACTATCTCACTGTTGCTCTTCTTTTGACAATTTTTTTTTGCAATGTTTCATTTTTTTTTGTTCTAGGTTCTTTCTCAAAGCTTGCTTACTCTAAACACAAAACGGAACTACGCAAGCTGTAGCACCGGGAAGTTCCTTATATTAATATTGTTCTTCGGATTAGCATGTCTAATGCTGATGAGTAGGAGTCCAAATGATTCTTCCACTAATGAAAAAGGAAAGGTCACTTTTGTGGGGGGCCTTAGGCTAGGAAGACTTTTGAGAAAACCGCCTAGGCTTCCACCTCGATTATCACCTGACGAAGGACTATTAAGAAGTAGCTCCACTAACGCCTCAAACTCTGACCCAAAATGGGCAGCAAGACAGCAAAGTGTGAAGGAAGCTTTTGACTATGCATGGTCTGGCTATAGAAAGTTTTCCATGGGTTATGACGAGCTGATGCCTATTAGCCAGAGAGGCGTGGATGGGTTAGGAGGACTAGGTGCCACTGTGGTGGATGCTCTTGATACAGCCATGATAATGGGGCTTGATAATATCGTCTCTGAAGCAGGATCATGGGTCGAGGCTCATCTCTTGGAGAGAATCAGTCAAAAGGGTCAAGTTAATTTGTTTGAAACTACAATACGTGTTTTGGGTGGGCTTCTTAGTGCATACCATCTGAGTGGAGGAGAGCAGGGTACAATGAACATGACCCATAGTGGACCAAATCCAGCTGTCTATCTAAATGTTGCCAAGGATTTGGCTGACCGTTTACTTTCAGCTTTCAAATCGAGCCCTACTTCAGTTCCCTTTAGTGATGTCATATTGCGTGACTCAATCGCTCATCCAGCTCCAGGAGGAATGAGCAGTACAGCAGAAGTTGCCTCTGTACAGCTTGAATTTAATTACCTCAGTGCTATCTCTGGTGATCCAAAGTATAGTACAGAGGCCATGAAGGTCTTAGCTCATATAAAAACTCTTCCAAAGACAGAAGGTCTTGTTCCAATCTACATCAGGTAAATTAATGATTGCTCTTTCAACTATGAATACTACGACTAGTATTAAGTTTTTTCTGTGCGTTCCCTGGGGCTCTTTTGAACTGAGATGTTTGTTTTTTTACCTGTCGCAGCCCTGATTCAGGTGAATTTGTTGGTGAGAACATCAGGTTGGGATCCCGTGGTGATAGCTACTACGAGTATTTAATTAAGGTGTGGCTTCAGCAAGGAGCCAAGTTTAACAGTGATTTCACATATTTGCATGATATGTACATTGAGGCTATGAAAGGAGTCAGGCATTTGCTTGTGCGCAAATCAATTCCAAATGGTCTGGTCTTTGTAGGGGAGTTACCTTACGGGCCTAAGGGAGAGTTCAGTCCGAAAATGGATCATCTGGTAAGCATCACTCACTACCTCGTACTGAAAAAAGCAATCAACCCCATTTCATAAAATTTCATGGCGTTTGTTCTTCCTGAGGAATGATCCATTTATTTTTACTTGTCTAGGTGTGCTTCTTGCCTGGTACACTTGCTCTTGGTGCTACCAAGGGACTCACGAAGGAGAAGGCCCTGAAGGAAAATCTTTTGTCATTTGAGGATCTGGAAAATTTGAAGCTTGCAGAAGATTTAGCGAAAGCATGCTTTGAGATGTATGAAGTAACTGCCACTGGCCTTGCTCCAGAAATTGCTTACTTTCACACAGAGGTAAGTTCTGCCCTGTAACCTCTTTCCTAAACTTGAATCTTTTGCTTTTTGCGCGTTATTCTTTCTCTTCTTGGAGTTTTATTTGACTCATCATCCTTGGATTCTAATAACGCAGGAATACTCTGAGGATGGTCTTGAAGGTGGGAATAAGAGTTCTATGTATGCAAAGGACATAATCATAAAGCACGCTGATCGACATAATCTACTTCGCCCTGAAACTGTTGAATCACTCTTTGTCCTCTTTCGTATCACAAAAGATACAAAGTATGAAGACTGTTCATGGGATATTCTCTCAGTATCTAAGTTCTTGGGGATTATACACTGCTCTCTAAACCTAACACATTTTTTTCTGAAATTGCAGATACCGAGATCAAGGGTGGCAGATCTTTGAAGCATTTGAAAAGTACACAAAGGTGAAAACAGGTGGATACACATCATTGGATGATGTAACAGAAGTGCCTCCTCATAGGAGAGATAAGATGGAGACATTCTTCCTTGGTGAAACATTGAAGTACTTATACTTGCTCTTTGGAGATGACTCGGTGATACCTTTGGATAAGTTTGTTTTCAACACTGAAGCTCATCCATTGCCAATAAGAACCACCTGAAAAAGGTTACTTTTGAAGACAGCTCCAGAAAATACATACACCATACAGAGATACACAACTTGAAAAGAATGTTTGGAGAAAAGTTATGTATAGTAACAGTACCAAATTGGAGAAGAGGTTAGTTCGTTGAGAGAGAAAAAAAAAACACATAACTTTTCCGATGTAAGATAAGTTTCAGCATCCAAATCATAGATTCAATTTATGATTTGTAGATCCTGTTTCTTTTATAATAGTAGGTTTTGTTGCGAATATCAATCTTTTTGCTTAAGCTTACTCTTCGTAACATGTAATCAGACACCATGGAGATTAATTATGTTTCAACTTTTTCTTTTATATACATAATAATAATCGATTTGGAACGTGTACACACACACAGAGAAAGGTACTTGTGTAAATCTCTAAATTCATAACTGAGAGGGCGTAAAGATCTGTATAAGTTTACACATTCAAGTGCAGTAGTCAACACAGAAAATTAGAGACATCCATCACCACAAAACTGAAACCACAGGAACTCTCAATAACTGAAATATGACACCACTAAGACTGGGCCGAGCACAAGTGTAAGGGCTTCGACAAATGTGGTTGCAACTGACAAGCTCAATCAAGCCTTTGCTTTTCCAGCCTGGATAGATTGTAGCCGTTGTTGTATTTTCATCATCTGCAAGAGTTTGATTCCATGAATTAAAAACCATGAGAGCATCATCACCACTAGTTCATCAAGCAAAGGAACAAGTTTCAATTGTGTCTATATTTTCTGTCTCTCTATTCTTTCAAACCACAGATCCTTAGATGGTGCTAAAGCCACTCAACAAGACAGAGGAGCGAACTCAGTTTATGTAATTTCTTGCAGGACATGCATAAAAACGTCTACTTAAGTAATACTTTTAGAGCTAGAAGTAAGTTAAGCATCAATGTCCGGACTATTATTGGTGGAATGGCGTTAGAATAAGTATATAATCTATGAGAAGGATGACTTACCGCTTCTCTCTTGCTGTTTTGTTCTCCTTCCAGACCTTGGATAAATCTGTCAAGCCGTTTCCTGCGAATAGCTCAAACATTTATCCTACATCCTCAGAGTTATTATATAGGGTTTGCAAAAGTGCTACACTACATATCCATAGTCTAACAGCATGTACTCATTTTAAAAGAGTAAGGACAGTCTTCAATTTCCATTTTACCTACTATGTTCATCATCTTTACTCTAATTAGATAATTAATCCAAGTGGAGATAACCATCCAAAAGGTTCTTTATTTTCAACTACTGAACCAATGTTCAAATGGGGGTTGCTGAATGAGCAAAGACGTAACTTAGCTGCACTTGCTTCAATCCAAACAAAAGAAAGAAACTTACAATTCAGCAGAGATGTACTCGATTCTTTTGCGAACATTTGCGTTTGCTTCTGCCAAATCCTGCTTCACTAGCACCGGACCAATCAGTTTGTAGACGTTTGCGTCTTCCTCCAGCAAATCCAACTCCTGTAGAAAACAAGACAATACACAAAAAAAACTTAGAGATAGAATTGAATGGGGCAAAGGAGAATCAAAGAAACAAAATCATCTTTTTAATTCCAGAATCCGGAATTTCTTCAGTTTTCACATAATCTACAGGAGTTTAAACCCAGAGGAAATAGTGAGACATATATAAATTACCTTAAGCACGAGCTCGTTCTCACCGAGTTGGATCGTATACTTCTTCCTCAGCTGGTGATTCTTCGCGATTTCTGAAAAATGAACATTGAGAAACAAATTTAGAAACTAGCAAAAACGATTCATCGTCTCTCGAATCTTCAACACATAAAACTAGGGTTTCCCGCCTCCAACAAAAAAAAAAAAAACAAAAAACAAACTCATCGAAAGAAAAGTGAAAAGAATCTGGGGAACCTGCCTTTCTGATGTTTGCCGAGATCATTGGCCTTGTTCTCTAGGTCTCTCTGCAAATCTCGAAGAGCAAACGATGAACTCATCTTCGTCGTCGTCTTCTTCTTCCTAACTCCGGCGGTTTAGTGAAGACTCACGGATTCACTACAGAAAGAACAAACGCCGTGTTGTAGAGATGTTGTCTCACTGTTTGAAAAAAAGGCTAGACTAAAGCCCATGGAATTAACTTGGACCTTTGACGGCCCAATACGCTTCTTTAAATCAAAACGGAATTGACTAAACCGATTTTGGTTCCGCTCTATATATTCTAAACCAAATCGAAACTGACAACCAATATAGAAAAAAGGATAACCAGCTCTTTCAAAATTTAATAACATACAGTCATCAATCTCTATTATCTCAGTTTTAGAGTTCAAGTATACGACAAAAAAAAAAAAAGAATTCAAGTATTAGGAATTTTGTACTTGTGTGTGTATAGAATAATTTGTTGATATTGGTATTGGTTGATAAAAATGTCTTACAATTACAAACACAACTTTATTTTTCTCACTCTGTAGACCAATCTAAAATAGTGAAAAGGTGAAAATTACTGAGAAAACTTTTTTCTTGGTAAAGCTAATAATTCACTCCACAACCCAAAAGAAATAGAGGCTCATCAAAAAAGTAAAGTCTCCACTTTAATCTCACATCTTATACATAGCCAATGAACAAAAAAAAAGAAGAAGTAAACGTGAATTAATTATCTAAACTTACTCCACCTTGTCTCTTCCATTTATAACAATTAAGTATGTTAATTTACCGAGTAACGAGAGAAAGAAAGAAACATTTCTTACCCTTTTCTTTTATACTTTTTTTGGTTATGCGTGCATGGAGTTTTGTCTAAATATCTGTAAACAGCTTTAAATATAGGAAATTAAATGAGAAATTAAAAAAATAATCGAAAGAAAGACAACGAGTGCGGAATCTTGGATAAAAGGACACTACCCTTCCCTGTCTTTGCTCGCTGCCCGAAAAGAACATACAGAAAACACTTTCACATTTCACACTTACAGAGAGAGAGAGAGAGAGATAAAGAGAGGACATTAGGTGGTGAGGAAGAAAGAAGAAGAAGAGGAGAGATAATGGCTCCGAACAACAATGGATGCAAATGGGCCATTGTCATATTTCTGCTTAGTCTCTCCGCCGCCGTCTCATTCACCGCCGCCGACAAGGCTCCCACGGTTGAAGATGGTACGCTTTTCACTTACCTTCATCAAAATTTATTGGTTTTTGTTTTGGTATTCGCGTGATGGGTTTTTCTTACATCGTTTATGGGTTCTCCAAGAATGACTTTGTAAATTAAAATCTAAGCTTACTAGATTCAATTTCTCATTTCTCAAATCCAAAAACAGAGGATATCAACTAAAAGACATTACTTTCAGAGTATTGATTTGGGCAGAAAAACATTGAATGGAGCTAGGAACTAAACGTTATCCTATTTATCTAGATTTGGAGAGTTTAGGTTTTTGGCCTAATTTTACTTTACTATTGGCATTGCTGTGTCTTGAGTAAAGGTTTCTGTACTGTCTGAGATTAAAAGTAGAACTTATGATGTCTAGTATATGAGTTTCATTCTATATAGAAGATCATCAGTTTCTAATCGTAATTACGTCAATTATAATAATATAGCTAGGTACTCTCATCTTCAGGGAAAAATCTGTCAATTTCAATCTAATCCGCACAATATAAAAGAAAGTAAAAGCTGATGTGTCTGTTTTTCAATTAAGAATAAACTAAACTTTCATGCTTTCGGCGGCGGCAAAAGCAGAAATGAAGCCCTTGAGGTTCAGCTTATAACTTAACAAGTCACAACTTCATTTGTAGATTATTCTAATTCACACAGACAATTAAATTACCTTGGAAACTTTTTTATGTGTTTGTGTGTGTTATATTAAAGTTGTTTTTAAATCCTAACAAAAAAAGATTGTTCAGAAAACTGATATAAATGTTTATTTTATTCTATTTGTATATATTAGTCCTTTTAAGGGACATTTTGATTAAAAAAGTATATGCAAACTTCAATCCTATAGAAAAACGTAAGAAAGTAAAAAAAAAATAAGTAAAGGGTTCCCGCCAAATAAAAGGTGGTGTATTGGGTTGTAGTGGGAAAACGACACAGAGTCCCGATAAAACGACATCGAAGTGACCTAACACTTGTTGAGTTTGTCAACACGCTTTCCCTATTTGCAAGAGTAAATTGGGACTGTAGTAGAGAGTGTATACATGGTAATAATAGTCAACAAGTGTCTTGAAATAGGTGGGCCCAAGTCAGGCATTTGTATGGTCCCACAAAGTCATAGCATTTAGCGAGTGGCTATGGGCCTTATCCAGGCCCATGTAAAATGTTTCCAGCCTCGTGTCTTTTCCTTTTTTTTTTTTTTTTTTTTTCACGTTCCCACAATCACAGATCAAGTAAATTATGTCGAATCAAACTTATCTATTCGAGAAATACAAAAATGTCTCTTTTCACACAGCTATGAGCTAGCTAGTTAATAATCAAATTTGATCGTAATGTTTTAGCATTGGCGCAGATTTTGTCTTCCAAAAGACTCAATGTAGATATTTCAATTTCACACTGAGTTTCTGTCAATTGTATTTCTAATTCTGAGTTTATCAGTAAATATAACTTTTTTACTGTGATCGTAGGTTTGGTGATAAACGGCGACTTCGAGACGTCACCGTCAAATGGCTTCCCTGACGACGGAGTGATTGATGGACCCACCGAAATCCCGAGCTGGAAATCCAACGGCACGGTGGAGCTAATCAATTCCGGTCAGAAACAAGGCGGAATGATCCTCATCGTCCCACAGGGTCGTCACGCCGTCCGATTAGGTAACGACGCAGAGATCAGCCAAGATCTGACGGTGGAGAAAGGCTTTGTCTACTCCGTCACGTTCAGCGCCGCTCGCACGTGCGCTCAGCTCGAATCGATAAACGTGTCGGTGGCGTCTGTGAACGCAGACGCGGGTGACATGTTGGCGTCGCGTAACGTGGATTTGCAGACGCTGTACAGCGTTCAGGGGTGGGACCCATACGCGTGGGCGTTTGAAGCGGAAGAGGGTCATGTGCGGTTGGTCTTCAAGAATCCTGGCATGGAGGATGACCCCACTTGTGGGCCCATCATTGACGACATCGCTATTAAGAAGCTCTTCACTCCTGATAAGCCCAAAGGTAAACTATTTATTTCCCATAACAAGCCCTTAATTTTCTCTATTTTCTATTTTCTACCCCCAAGCTCTCTATTCGTTCAATCTCACCCTAGTTTACAATTGCAGATAACGCGGTGATAAATGGAGACTTCGAGGAAGGTCCATGGATGTTTAGAAACACGTCACTTGGTGTCCTACTTCCAACGAATCTCGACGAAGAAATCTCGTCTCTTCCGGGTTGGACAGTTGAATCGAACCGGGCGGTCCGGTTCGTGGACTCGGACCACTTCTCGGTTCCAGAGGGCAAACGAGCCGTCGAGCTTCTCTCGGGCAAAGAAGGCATAATTTCTCAAATGGTCGAGACCAAAGCAGATAAACCTTACACATTGTCTTTCTCGCTTGGACACGCAGGTGATAAATGCAAGGAACCATTGGCTATTATGGCATTCGCGGGCGATCAGGCTCAGAACTTTCATTACATGGCGCAAGCGAACTCCAGTTTCGAAAAAGCCGGTTTAAATTTCACGGCCAAGGCTGATCGAACCAGGGTCGCGTTCTATAGCGTTTATTACAACACGAGGACAGATGATATGAGCTCCTTGTGCGGACCTGTGATCGATGACGTTAGAGTTTGGTTCTCTGGGTCGAAGAGAATCGGGGCTGGTTTTGGGTTTGGGTTTTGGGTTTTTTGTCTTTTGGTTATCAGTTTGGTTTAGTAACACTAGATTTAAATGTCCCGGTTTTACACGTAAACTGTTATTGCAACCCAAGGATTCTTCTGGTATTTTGTATGCTTATCCATCGGGTTAGCTACTAGAAAGTAGAAGTTCGATGGCATTTATCGTTTTTATGCTATAGTTTATGCTAAACCGATTTCTAATGTAAAAAACGAGAAGTTGGTTAAGTTAGAAATTATCTTTGGGTAAACCAAGTATTCAATTCGAAACCGTACCGGAGATCACAGATATTTCGGTTAGGTTTGATAAGAATCAGTTTTTATAAAGTTGTCCGCTCGTTATAAATCTGAAACTCCGCTCTGTTTCTCTCTCCGCCGCCGTCGTTTCCAGTTGCCAATCTTCACCGGCGATCTCATGGATAGATCATGATGCAGATAAATTTGTATTCATCCTTTTTGTTTTCAGTCTTCGCTTCCTGGAACATTTCAGTTTTCTCGATCGACGAGTATAAAGATAAGAGTTAGGTTTTTCGTTTTGTGGTTTTCGTTGTGGGAATATTATTAGATGATGAAGATGATGAGATATAGCAGGTACTTATGAGCAGACTGTTTAATCATTTGGAATGTTTCTTGGTGCAGCTATTACTCTGCTATGCCGAATCTTCCGGATACTCAGTCTGAGTGACTTTTCAAATGAGCTTCTTTCTGATTCAATCATCTTCGAACTTCCCTTTGATACAGTTTTTTTTTTTCGCAATGTTTGTTTCTCGGCTTCTTCCCTCACTGAAAAAGATTTCTCCTTTAGACCAAACAAACAAAACATTTTTCTTTGTTATGCTGTAACATCTTGTTTTATATTTGACTCTGTGGTCTTTATAAAACGAATGTTCCTTCTTTTTAGCACCCAATGTTTGTTGGTTGTGTGATTGATTAGAGTTTGAGTTTGTTTTCTTGATGATTAGTTGCACAACATTACAAATTCAGCTAATAGAGTATTTTGTTGTTTGGATGTTATGAACTACTTTGGATAGAGGAAAACAAAAAACAAGTTGCATCCTCGTGTTAGTGGCTGGGTCATGGTGAATCTTTACGGATGAAAAATGTGAAAAGTGTACAGCTTTCAATGTTAATTCGTAGCTGAAAGATAATGGAATCGACTAATCACTTCAAATTAACGTTTTTGGTTTATTGTTTATTACGGAAGACCATAAGCGTTATTTCAAACTGCTTTAATCATCAACAGTATTGAGATTGTAGATTAGCTGTCTCTATGACTTGATTTTGTTCATCATAGATTTGTATAGAGTACATTTATTTTCTCTCCATCATTAGAGGTACTAATTACTTTCTGTTTCAGCGAAATCCAAAATTTTGAGTGTATTTGAGTTTTTTTTTGCCATTGTTGATGTTTTGAGTTCTTCTTGGTTGATTTCGTATCATCAGGAGGTTGCCAGATCCAGTAGTAGAGCGATTTCGTATCTGTTGAATCATCCCCTCATCGACATGAGCTCCTCCTATTCTTGAGTTTTGGAAAGCTCTGGTGCAAAAAGAATGTCATATTCCCAAAAGGTACAATCATTGGAAAACCATTGGAAAGCTGCTGAGCATGCCTGTCGATGGTATCATCTCTTCTTTCCCTTCTTGGCTGGGAGGCTCGATTTAGTAATACGGCCAATGACTTTTCTGTCCACAAGTGGTCACCTGTCAATGCAATGGCGAGGATATTTTTTTATCATGCCAGATTAGATTGAGGAAAAAATGGGAAGTGCTTGACTTGAGCTAGTTACGAGCTTGGCTTCCTCGAGGCAGGAGGAGTTTTAGACATAAAGCAGTTGCTAGCCCTTGGGATTGGGAACAAAGAGATCACTTTCTCCAACGGTGGTATTAGAGAGACGAATCAGACAGTGACATTGCAAAGGACTTGGATTGGTAACGACTTCAATAGAGCTGTATTGTTTCCTGTTATTGCCTGGTTTTGGAAAACATTATGTTTTTGTTTACCTGATTGAATCAAAGTATCTCTCTCACAACAATTTAGAATAAGTTTTCAGACATGGAGACACTAATCAAGATTTGAGCTTGAAACACACCACACTATACACAAAACGCACACTGCATTGCACATATCCAACCATAAAAGAGTCAACAACATAATACAATTCGTAATGTCTAAAGCTTGAAACTTGAAATTCTCCTGGATTGTGACATCGTAACTCTTCTTGCTCGTTCCGCTTCGGATCATGGTGGCAGTTTCATTGAGGAACAGGATTTTGAGAATTTATACTTCTGTAGAATTTGGAGATTCTTCCGCGAGATTCGGGTTTCGGTTTAAAGGTCTTCTTCCTCAAACCAAAGATCTCTTGTACCAGAGGAACATGGCTTAATACTAGCTTCCATGCCAGAAACCACCAAAGAGCGATAAAGCAGACGACGAACGAGATCGCTAGAAACGGACGGACGAGAAAGAAGAAGAGATAATCGAGAACCGAAGGAGATTCCATTGACGACGACTCGAGGAAGCTATCGATCAGAATTTCTTTGGTTTCAATTTTCAAAGATCTCTCTTTGATGAACTCAGCAATTTTTAATTTCGGGGATAAACATAATATATACAAAATACTACGATACAAAACTGATTTGGGGCGACCCGGTTTAAGGTCCGGGTTGTAAATCCAGTTAACGAGCCCTTCCTTGTCTTTTGAGTCCTTCTCTCGTTTCCTTCCTCAAGTCTCCTTCTCTTCCGTCTTTACATCGCCGGTTGATCCGCCTTTAGCCATCGGTAAACGCAGCGGATTAATTGGATAATTCTCAGGTAATCTGCGTCACGCCGTTGTGAGCTAAATTTAGGGTGATCGGATCTCAATCATGGACGAGGAGGCAGCAAAACCTAGAGACTCCTCCACCGTAAATCAGCAGCATCAATACTATTACGGAACGTTTCAAGGCGTCGCAAATTATCATCCTCCGGCTCCGCCACCGCAACTGCTACCTCTGCCGCAGCATCCGGTGGCTAAGAATCCCTTGTTTCAGGGGCATGGTTATCAGAATGTCCAAGGTTTTAATCTCTCTCTAATTACTGTATGATTTTACGGGTCTTTGTTGTTTTTGTGATCGCTTCATGTTTGAGAATTGTTAGGTCCTGGTGGTGGTTTTTTGAATTATGCTCAAGGATTCCCAGTTGTTCCTGGTACTTACCCTTGCACTTTGCTCTGTATGATTGGTTGCGTTATGATCAGATGATAAGGGTTTGATTTTTTGTTACTTTAAATCTGATATTGGTTGATGCAACAAGTATTGATTATGGGTTTTTGTTGTTTTAGAATACACAGTGGTTGAGGTGAGACCTATGAGAGAGCATGACCTTCCTTGCTGTGGCTTTGGCATGGGCTGGTTCTTGTGAGTTCCTTCTTAACTGCATCCGATATCGTCATGTATTGTCTCTTGATATGAGTTTCCGTTACAAGTGTTGCGTTATAACTACCATTGTTAGATCATTTGGAAATTGGGTTCATGATGGTCTGTAGATCTTTGAGCATTATCAAGATATCTAGTTGTGATAGAGAAAATACCAGCTTGTTGTACAACTTGCCTTAGATTCTGTCAAAAAAAATAGACTCGTCTCTCCTGGAATCTCTGTATTTGGAACGTGACTTTAGATTGTTACATATGTTTTACCTAACATACTGATGTCTAGTCAGTGTATGGTGCTTTTCTAGTTTTCTTGTTGTCTAAAACTCTCTCGTTCTCTCAGGCTCTGAGTTTATATAAGGAAAATCTTCCTGGGACTTATCAGTTGTCACTTGTCTCTGCCTAATAATGTTAACATTTAAAAGACAGTTGATATTTGAGAAACGTTAATAGATGTGCTGGTTAGATTCTTTCATACGAACACAAGAAAACTGTAAACCCCATACATTTTGTGAGTTGAATCTTGTTATGGCGGCTAATTTATGGTTTGTGGCTTTGGTCCCAGGTTTATAATGGGCTTCTTGTTCGGTGGGATTCCTTGGTACCTCGGTGCTATTATTATTCTATGCACGTCTCTTGATCACCGTGAGAAGGCAGGTTACGTTGCCTGTGCAATCGCAGTGAGTTTCTCTCTGTCTCTGTCTCTTTCATTACATCGTTTCACAACTTTAGTTACTCGTCTATATTCACCATAGTGTTGTCTCACACATCTCGTTTTTGCTGTCTGAAATCTTCCAGTCCGTTGTCTATTCGATTGCCGTAATGCTCGGGATGGCTGGGAATGTTAGCATCTGGTGAACGCTGCTTTCCAAAATCACAACTCAGTCCTACATATATTACACGTACATTGTAGATATGTCAAATAACTTTACCTGTCATTGAAGATTCTACTGATTTCCGTCATGATAATGTTTGTAACTATGTGTTGAATTTTGTATGTTTTAAGCAACTATGTATATGTTGTTTACTAATATTGATTGCATCTTCAAGTAATATATTTTTTGACCTACTTTGATGGTGGCTAGCTACAGTATAAAGATCTAATGAAGCTGAAACTCGTTTTAAGTATGTTGACATTTGTAAACTAAGGAAACTTTTTCAATGTTTTCACAGTATCTCTAATTATCTGTATCTTACGAACATGATTTCTTTTTCTCTACTAATATGTATGATCGGACAATCATAGCCAAAAACAAAAAAAAGTGGAGTGACAAAAACAAAACATATGTTTAGAAGAGAGTTTATCATTCCGTAAAACTCACTAACTTTGGTTAAATAACGTCTTTAACCCAGAAGAAAGCCCAATGGGCTTAAGGATCTCGGTTCCAGTTGGAGTAATTCTGTACGAAAGTTTCAAGATTAGGGTTTTTATTTGCCTTGTCATTTACTAGGTCACATATATAAAGCTGCTAGAAGAGTGTCTCTGTCTTTTGGAGGAATATTTGATCGGCGGAGAGAGGTCTTTCACGGCGTTGTTCCCTCCTTTGTGACGAAAATGGGCGTTTTCAGGGTAAAAGCTCGTGAAATCTGGCTAGATTTCTTGCGTCTATGCTTCCAATTTAGCTGTTGATGCTATTATTTCTGGATTCGGCTTGGAATTTACTTATGCGTGATGTGTTTTCTTATTGCAGTTTCACCAGTACCAGGTTGTCGGAAGAGCTCTTCCGACAGAGAAGGAGCTTCACCCTAAGATTTACAGGATGAAGCTCTGGGCTACGAACGAGGTTCGTGCCAAGTCCAAGTTCTGGTTAGTAATTCTTTAAAAAGTTTATGTTAGTATTCATTTGCAGGATTAAGGTTATTGAATCGATGTTTGAATAATTTTTCTGTATGTGTTTAAATTCAGGTACTTCTTGAGGAAGCTGAAGAAGGTTAAGAAGAGCAATGGTCAGATGCTAGCTATCAACGAGGTACTTCATTTGATCTCTTCTCATTGATCCATTGGTTATTAAAATGAGAAAATTTGGTGTAAAGATCTGATGTTAGTGTGGTTTTACTCTATTGGAGAATTAGAACTGTAGATTGTTGATTGGCTATGAGAAACAGAGAACATTTTGGTTGTTTGTGCTCGACTCTGATCTTCTCTGTGTCCATATTCTGGCTTAAGTTTAGTTGATCGTGTTTGGTTTCAATCAACTAATACCGTGAGCGTTTGATTACTCATCTAACCATATTCTGGAAATATGATCTATGATGGTCCTTTCCACATACTCTTGAAGTTGAAGTTGTTTAAAAGTATTGATGATTCAGTAATTTAAGTCGCTTCTCTATGTTGTAATAGTTGTCTCCATGCTTTCTTTCTTTGGTCCCGACTCATTTCTTTGTTATGTTCTCTCCTGATATCTTCCTTGTGGCAGATCTTTGAGAAGAACCCAACAAAGATCAAGAACTTTGGAATCTGGCTAAGGTACCAGAGCCGTACAGGTTACCACAACATGTACAAGGAGTTCCGTGACACGACATTGAACGGAGCAGTGGAGCAAATGTACACGGAGATGGCATCAAGACACAGAGTGAGGTTCCCATGCATCCAGATCATCAAGACGGCCACAGTCCCAGCCGCACTGTGCAAGAGAGAGAGCACCAAGCAGTTTCACAACAGCAAGATCAAGTTCCCTCTGGTCTTCAGGAAGGTTAGACCTCCCACCAGAAAGCTCAAGACCACCTACAAGGCCTCCAAGCCCAACTTGTTCATGTAAAACCTCTCCAAAGGTAGTAATCGACTTGTCCTACTTTGTGAGGGATTCATCAAAGCTGCTCTTCTTCTTTTTTGTCTTTTTAATTTTGCTGGTGGTAGAATCTTGGAAGCATAACTATGCGGGATATTGTTGTTTTCGTTGCTGGATATTTTTGTTTATCTTTTTTAGTTGGCACTCGTGAGACTTTAAAGAATTCAGATGTTCTTAGTTCTTGTTCTTAAGGCCTTAATGCTTAAAAGATTTCCTCATTTCTGCGTGGATCTAAAAATTAAAATGTACACTGTCTAATCCGATCATAAGGTAGATTTTATCTGTTTTTGTCAATAAATCAAAGATCTTTTGTAGCTTTTTGGTTATCAAATAAAAATGTCTTTGTTTTATAACATAAACATAGCAACAAATTAATAGAAAGGTCAAACAATTGCTGTTAATTACAAACATCAAAATAATAATGTGTGGCCTTCGTTAAAGTATTTTCAACTTATTATTACTTTCGATGGATGAAAATTGAAAAGCATATTGTTCCCTTATCAAAATGTTAATCTAAAAGCATAATAAATTGTTCCCTTATCAAAACGTTACTCAAACCATAATAAATTCAAAAGTTTACTGCTATAATACTATTCCCTTATTATTATTTTTAAAAAATAAAGATTATATTACTAAGTTTTAGTTTTTAACCCAAGTTAAGAGATTATAAAAAAAAAAAATTAACCGAGAAACAACGAAACAACGACAAATAAACAACTAATAACGACAAACAAACAACGACAAACAAGCAACCACAAACAAACAGTAAACACTAACAAAAGGCTAAGAAAAATGGTTAATGAAATAATAAAATTAAAACCAAAACAACACCCAAACGAGAAAGCAGCAGTAACACGCCAAAGCTTGTTATCATCCCGTCTTTGTCGTAATTCCTAAGAATACTATTCCCTTATTCAAAACGTTAATCTAAAACTATAATATATTGTTCCCTTATCATAACGTTAATCAAACCATAATGAATTCAAAAGTTTATTACTATAATACTATTCCCTTATTATTATTTTTTAAATATAAAGATTATATTATTAATTTTAATTTTTAATCGAAGTTAAGAGATTATAAAGAAAACAAATTAACGGAAAAACTGAAACAACGACAACGACAAATAAACAACGGACAAACAAACAACGGACAACGACAAACAAACACCAACAAAAAGCTAAAAAAAACGGCTTATGAGACTAGAAAACTAAAACCAAAACAACACCAAATGAGAAACATTAAATCTAAAACATTAGCCAAATCTTGAGTTTGATCAGCAATGGCCGTTATTAGCTTGATGAAACGACTATGACGTTGACGCACCATTACATCCAAAGCTTCTTCTTCTTCTTACAGCAACCTCACACAGTTTCTCATAAAACTCCTCAAAGCTCGCCAAAACTCTCGTCGCCTCTTCCTTGTCGTCGGGATCAGATTTCCACCACGCGTCGTCGTCACTCTCCACCGGCAACGTCGACGTTCCCAAAGCCTTCGCAGCCGCAACTGCTTTCCCTCTCTCTGCCTCCGCCTCTGCTTCCTCCATCAGATTGTTGAACGTCTTGCACAGCTCCTCCACCTTCACTTTCTTGTGAGCATCCACGATCGCCGACGACGAGGAGCTCTCGCCGTTGATCACCACTCGGCGGTTTATTTCGAGAAACCGCTCTGCCACGGCTATGAACGACGGGCTGCCGAATGTGTACGGTTTACCGGCGCCGGAGTAAACGAGAAATCCGGTTTCGGCGCCGCAGAGAACGGTGAGCTCAGCGAGCTTAGTGTAGATTCCGTTTCTACGCTTGGAGAATGTCACCATTCTGTCTCCGTTTTTCTCTACTTTTCTTATCTTTATCTTTTGTTTTCCTTTTGTTTTTTTCTCTCTCATTTTTTTTTTTGGCAAAGATTGTGAATTTTTTTTTGAGATTTTTGAAATGTTGAAGAAAGTGAATCTTCTTGTTTTCAGCAAAGGAATGTGTTTTTGTTTAATGGGAAGTTAGATTTTTTATAGATGAAAATAAAATTGTAATAGTTATTACATGAGAAATTAGTCAATACTTCGATTTTTTTGTTTTGGAAGTTTTATCTTATGCTTGTAGATTGGCCTGAGACTGAGAGTTTTTGTCATCTTTTAATCGCAAGATATTTACTTACATGTGTAATCCACACTAATGATTTGTTTTTAATTTTATTGACTAGTTATTACCCATTTTTGGAATATAGAATGAATCGTTTGATCAGCTGATAACGCTAATATGCTACTATAAACGTTTACACAGTTTGTAGAATACTAAAATTTACTTGATAAGTAATTAAGAAAATCAGGTGACTATCTAAAGAAATTATTTTCTACTTGTAAATAAAATGTAGACCATATGCTATATTTTAAAAATTCTTATATCATATTTCATTGGATTTATTTTGACATAAAATATATTCTGTATATATTATTCTATCGTTTTGTTTGTATGATCGTTTATTGGTTAATCAATGTTAAAAAATAATACATTCACATTATATCGAAAAAAATTTAATGAATAATAATGATATGAAGATAGCAAAATACATTTTCAAACGTTTTAAAAATGTTACTGGTTTTATGATTCTTTTTAAAATCAAAATATAAAGAATCTAATTGAGTTTCCTATGTGTGAATAATAAATATCATTCTCGTTTTGAATATCTTAGTCAAATATATATAGTTTGAACTTTGAAAGTTAGTAAATATACATTACTATTTTTCTCTCTCATATTGACTTCTTGAATTTACTATAGAAATATATTTATTATTATATTAAAAGAGATACACATTTAGATTCTACAGAGAATTATTGCATCCAAACATTCCTTATTTTATTGAAAATACATTTTATTTAATATTTATATTTAATTTTGAAAATAAAAATATTAATTTAGAGTATTTTAGATTTTTTAAAATATCTACACTATTATTTTAGATTAATTTAAATTTATATATGTTAACTTAATGAAATATTAATATAAAACATTTTATTTTATATTTATAATTAATTTCGAAATATTATTATTATTTTAGATTTCCTCAAATATAGGTAATATATTACTTATCAAAAAAATTTTAAATTGGTTTTTAATGTATCTTTACAAAAAATAATAATAATCAGCTTTAATTTAGATATTTGGATTTTAAATTATACAGTAATATAAATAGAAAATTTAGGATAATGTTTTAATAATCTCTATCTTTTGCGGGTTGATTTATCAAAACATACAAAATAGTGGCTTGATTCAAGAGATTAAAAAAACGGATAAACTCATTGTAATATTTAAATATATATTAGTTATGTAGTAATATAGATTCATCTAATAACAAAATTTACAATTATGATTACATCGATATATACTTAATTAACTTATCTATACTATTATACTAATATATACCATATGGAAATATCATATGAATTTTATAACAAATTATTTATATTTTTGTTAGATAAAAAACATTGATATCATTTAAAGTTACAAAAACCACATAATCATAATTTTTTTTATTAAACTTAAATTTAAACTATTTTTATTGTTTAATCTATATAAAAACAATTTTATACAAAAATAGTGTCTAAAAAGTTATTGCACCACATATCGTCAATCAATTAGAATCTAAATTGCATAGCACGAGTTACAAATATGTTATAAATATCACAAGATATACTGCAAAATAAATTAACAAAATATTATTTTTTACTAAAACCTAAGAATCACAAATTCAACATATTTGAATCAATAACATTTAATTATATCTTATTTTTCATTCTCATTTTTTTGTATTTCAAGATTTACTCAGAATGAAAAAACTTTGTCCAATTTATATATTTTAAAAGATTGCCAAATCAGTATATTTCAAAAAATTAGTTTTAAAAAACTACAATTTGTACAGACGTATAACTTATTTTTGAAGTATAGTATAAACGTCAAAATATATTTCTAAAAATAAATTAACAAACTAATTAATTTTCACTTACATGTTTAGAAATTATAAATTCAATATATTTGGTCATAAACTCTTAAAGACAATTATAATTCAGTAAACAAAAAAATTGATTTAGTGTAGACACACATGTTATAATTTAGTAGTACTTTTAAAATTATAAAATTAAGTATTTTCTCTCTCTTTAGTCAATGAAACTTTTAATATATCCTTGCAAAAAATTATGTATAAACTCTAAAATAATTAATAATAATAATAATGCAGAATTCGGATATAACTTCACATAGTAAGAGTTGAAAGAAATAAAACTATCATACATGAATTTGTATAGTTAGTCACCACATGGAAAAGAATTGTTGTCTTCATCGCCATTTCGCTCATTTCTTTTTTGGTTGTTTGTGAAGCTTTAGATGTTAGCAACATAATATGACTACTGATAAATCGAATAACTTTAGTGTTCATTTATTTTGTCTAACATATTCAATGACAAATTAAACTTACATGATCATGCGTTCCATAAATGGTGATATGGTTTCCGATTGATATCATAACTAATCTTAAAAACATGAATTTAAGTGCAGTAAAATAATGTGTGTCTGGTTCAATATCAATTCCATAGCTCTTACTGTCTTGTATGTGTTGTAACAGAAACATAAAAATCACCCATTCTTCTATTATGCTCATATCTTGACAATTCGTACACATCGGCACTAATCAAAATTATCATGGGGAGTCACCACCACTATTCTTACACGAATCTCACATGGAATTTGCCTCTTTCAAATTTCTCCATCAGTCGTTATTAAACGGACTCAGTCGTGCTTAACAACGAGAAACCACACTAACAAAACTGCCTAAGTCATCGAGCTACAGGACCAAGCTCACTCCTGCGCTAACCATAATTCTCAAGTTGGGGTCGGTCCAAGCGGTCCAAAATCTTCAAATGGCCAAACCTAGACATCATTTGAAAGCGGTAATTCAACTTATATTATATCAAAAGATCGTATTAATTGCTATGATGAGCTTAGAGTTATACCCTCCAAAACACTCTGCCTTGAATAAGGCCGTACGGTATAGTACCAAAGGTTCTTGAGTCTCTCGAGTTATGAGTGTAGTCACCTTGAACAAAGACATGTCCTTTAGGAACCTATAAACCAACCAGAAATGTCAACAGATCAAATCGCCACAGAAACTAAACAAGAAAATTGTATCTAGACTATTAACATTGCTTATTATCAAATGCTAACGATTCAAAAAGTTCAACACTTCCAAGACTCTTTAACTTAAAATCAAAGCTAAATTGTCATTATCATCTAATGGTTTTGCTACTACGAATTGCAAACAGTTATATGAAATTGAAAAAACAAACTTGTTTGAACTCTGGATCATCCAATCTCCCAACAATGTATCTCAAATCTGCTCAAACTCAATACTCAATAGAACACTCAAAAATCTGATTCTAAGAACAGCATACCACGACGGTTTTTGATGTATCGTTATTCCTGGGATCAGTCACAAAGCTTATACAATCTCCCTCAATTCCAATCACCCTCTTGATCGGAGTCTTATTAGGGTCTTCTGGAGATCGTAACACAACTACATCTCCACGAATCGGTTCCTGAGACCGCTTGGAGATTCGTTCCGCCAAATAGATATTGCCCGAAGGACGAAACGTTGGGATCATGCTCGGACCATAAGACTGCTCAAAAATGGGGGTAAACAAAGAAAAACTGGTGAAACCCAAAAAGAGAAATCTCTCAATAGAAATCAGCACCGATATGACTTAGATAAATAAGGAAGATTTGATGAGACTCACATAACCAGCGAAGCCGAAATAGTTGGTGGTTACATGGAGGAAGCAGTAGATTTTCGCGACAAACACACCGCTTTTCATGGCTTCTCGTGAAGCTCTGTTCCAGAACGACGACGAAGACCCCATTGCAGATCTCTGCAGCAACTGAATCGAACGAGTCGAGACTCGAGAACCACTTAACTTAGCCTAAACTCACTCCATCTCTCAGAAAGTCTGCAACTTTTGACGAAAGTCAGAAACTTGAAACGATTAAACGAATCGTGAGTCCATTTGCTGATTTGTGGTAAAAGAGCAATCTTCAACACGGTTTACGGAAAACCGGGTTAGTTTTAACCGGAAATTATTGTCACGAATGAAACCCGGTTTATGGTTTGGGTAACGTCAAGAGTGATGATGGATCATGTCACTTGCAATCGCAATGTTCAATATATGTAAGCATAAGGAAATCAAATGTTTGAAAGAAGAAGCAAATGACATTACATAATCAAGTTACCAAGCAAATTACAAACCATAATAGCTCCTGGTTACAAGTGACTACAGTGAAAGTTTAATCATACAAATCAAATCCACAAGTAACACTTGTGCAAACCCCGCTTCTTCATCGAAGCATTAACACACAAAAGAGAGAAAGATTCAACATATTTATATAAGAAGATCTAAGTAGATCACATCCTGCAAAAGGAAGAGAGAGAGAGAGAGTGGTCCAGATAGCGCATGGACAGATTTTACCTCCAAAGAACAATTCCAATGGAAGAACGAATATTTCTCATAGCATTTCAAGATTGGTTAGAGAAATGTCCAACGCCAAGTTTCTGAGCTTCGATTTTAAGTGACTTGAGGTACTGAACAGCTTCATCAAGAACGCAAGCTGTATTCATATCTTCACCTCCAGGGACAATCCTCCTCAACACTCCCATCATCTTCTTCATCTTCTTCCGTCCTTTACCATCATTGTTACAACTAGCGCTCCCTGATAAACTCTGCTTCTTCTTTGAGCTCTTATATCCATAGCTGGAGGAGCAACAAGATTCTTCAGCTGATGCATTTCCATAATCTCTGTAAGAATTACGAGCCGTGCTGACCTCTTCTGAATCACCACCATCCTCATTCTCATCATCATCACCATCTTCGTAGTCTTCATCTGTGCTCAAGAGGGCATCAATCTCATTTGGATCTTCTTGGTGAGAAGAGGACACTTCTTGTTGGCCATAGTTACCAAAACTCTCCCCAACATACTCGCTCTGGAACTTTGAAGCTAATCCGTTCAACGATGGGGAACTAGCCAGCCTATGGGTCAGCTCAGGATGGTACATCACTTGGCTCCGGTCATATGTTTGGTCAAAGATGACAAAGTTCTTTGGACAGACCGGAGAAGGTTGGAGTTCAACACCATGGAATGGTAACTTGGCACATGGTGGGAACAAATCGTCAAAAGATGACGCTGATGCATACGGGTTGTTCATGTTTCTGTCTCCCATTTCGTCTGAGAAGTAGGGAAACTGATCGTTCTGCATCAGAAAACCCTTGCAAAAGGTATAAAAAGTGAACACACAAAGAAAAACAAAGTCCTACACCTCAAAAACCGTGAGCTGCTTCAGTTTCTTGCAACCAAGATTTGCCTCTTTGTAAAGCTTCGAGCTGCTCGTTTACTACTACACTAAAAGTCGAGAATCTGAACCAAAAGGATGCTAAATCAAGTTATGGCCATCATACTGAAGATATCACGAATTTTTTCCACCAGAGCCCTCCCCAAAACCAGAAGCTTCTCAGACGTCAACACAGCTCTTCAGAATACCAAACTCTTAATATCTCACAATAACTCTTTTCGAAATCAAAAGTAGATAGCCGCCCCAAAAAACCCAAATTTCCGGAAATTCCAGACACCAGACTACGTTACAGGCTTTAGCAACTGTCTGAAATATTCTGCCTGTAAAGATTATAAAAAGAAAGGTTGAATATCAGAGACACTATGTGTTTATGCTTTAACAACCAAATCTATTAACACAAAACAACATCTATTAGATGATTATTCATATACCATCAGGCATCAGGGGATATAGTTTCTTTAATGGTAACATAAATCAGTGTAACTCTTACCTTCCACTAAAGGTTGCCTAAGAGTTAAAAGTGTTGGGATAAATCCAGGAGAGGCATGTACCTGGCAAACTTGAACGGATTGGTAATTAGCAATGAAACATGTAGTCATCATAAACGTTCCTATCTCCTTCAATGCTCGGTTTCCCTTCTTGTTTCCAACAATGCACATTCTCACACTAACCAAAGAATATATAGGCTAAACAACTGAGAGCTACTCCGAAACTCCGGAAAAAAGCACCTGCAAAACAATAGATTACTGTAAATAAGGTGGCAATGCAAGAAGAAAGCTTAACTAAAAATCACAATGTTTTATTTTTGTTATACGAAAGATAATCAGTTTAGTGAAGGGTAAATGCTTAATCTAGAGGCAAAAACAAAAGGAAACTAAGAACTTAAAAGACTAGACATGAGTGGCATCGTAATTGCAGAACAAAAACACAAGATGTGGAATGAGGCTGATACACACAACTGGTCCTCTCACCTAAAAGGAACAAATTTACAGAATCACGAGGAAGAAGACAACTAGACGAGTGCAAGTCCTGTTGAAAAACATGAAGAAGGATGTCCACGGCATCTTGATTCTTCCACTATATTAACTTTTGTTTGTGTGTATATTTAAAGCGCCTTTCCTCTACTCACAAACTGCACAAACAAACAAAATTAGGACCAATGCTATTCATTCACAGATATGAAGTTGAAATGCACTGAAATCGAGGCGAGTTCCAAAAAAAAAAAAAAAAAATTCGAGGAAAACCAAAAACAGAGAAACTTAAAACACATGATTCAGAATTAAAAGAGTTTAAATTTTAATGCATCTGCGTATAACAAAACAGAAAAGCAAAGCCAAACAGAGCACCATGAACAGAGACATTAACATCGTATCCAAAAGAAATGTTTTTTTTTTCTTTAGTTCGTGCTGATCACAAAGCAATCAAAAACAGAACACGAAAAAATAGAATCTTCACGCGATCATGAATGATTTTATCTCAGAAAAAGAAACAGATTGATAATCAGAAACAACACATAACATTGGTATAGAACAAAATCAAAATTGAATAATACAACGATCATATGAGAAAAAATACGCCGGAACATAGAGCTAGTCAGCAATCAAAAAATTACCATCAAAGTAGTATGAGATTAAAAAAACACATAAGAAAATTAAAAAAGAAAAGAACCCTAAGTCAAAATTTGCGGCGGTAGGAAGAAGCAAAAAACAGCATACCGTAGAAATCAGAAACCTTTGAATAAAGAAAGAAGAGAATCAAATGAACCGTTTTTAAGCGTAAGACTTAAGCTCAAGATTTGATCAAATTCGGAAGAAAGTAGTTGCAGGGGAAGATCTAGAGAGAGAGTCTGGTAAAAAAAGGGAGAGAAATAAGAGTAAGTGACAGAGAGCGTGGCTTTCTTTTTTCTGGTGCGGTTTGTTTGTTTTTGTTTGGTTTGTCCATTTTCATTTTTAATGACAAACATTGTTTAAAGTAATTTTTTTATTTTTAAAAAATATTAATTCCTTGCACGCTTTTTGTGCGTGAATGAATCTACATGTTTATTTTAAAATATATAAAAAAGGCAAAAAGAGGTTAAACTTTAGTGGAATTTTTGGAAATATCAATTTTTGCACTCCTATTAATTGATTCATCCAAGATCAAATCTTGGACAAAATATGTCTTTTTACAAGTTAGAATAGATAAAAATCTTGGAGTCGATGACACAATACAATAGGGGTAATTAAAATAGTCTGGAAAATCTCTCGACAATATAGAGATAAAAACTCCAAAAGAGTAGATTTAAGTTTTTCTTTATAAATTGGAAGTTATTTAAAACACTAGTTTCCCTAAAAAATAGGGAATCAATTTTACCAAAATCATGATTGGATAAAAAAATAGTTTTTGAAAAAACAAAACTAAAATCTATTCTAAAATCTGCAAACATTCAAGGCTATCCCAAAAAAAATTAAACTGTGTCTAATAAGTTGTTTCTTTCACTTGTTTTTTTACTATCTAGTAAAAAATAATCTTCACTATTTTATATTTTTATTCACAAAAATAAAAAGAAAGTGTCTAATATAACTCTCTTTTTTACTATCTAGTAAAAAAAATCTATTAAATGGATTACAGAAGGATTGAAAGTTTAGATGAATAGCGTAACCCATGTATATCACTATGCAGATATTTCTTTTGAGTCCAAACAAGAATTAGAAATGCAAAAGCTCAAAAAAAAAAAATATATATATATATATATATTAAGAAGATGTTGTTGTTATGTTTGATAAAATAAAATAAATAGTGGTGGTAATGGAGGGGAAAAAAAAAAGAAGAAGAGGAGGGAGCACGCGTGAGAAGATGGACAGAAGAGAGTCAAACACGGGGAGTGTGAGCCGTTGGATGAAGCAATCTGAGTGGTTTCCGTTTAATGCGGGCATGATGGTGACCGTAGGATGGCGAGAGCACGCGTGAAAAGCTTTTGTGGGCCCCTACAAAAGTCTTTCTTTGACAAAATTTTTGTGTTCGAATATTAAAAAATGTAATAAATAATCGACGACACGATACTCATCTCTTGGGGCTCTTGTCCCAACCCATACTTCCAAATAATGTTTACTTATTTTCGAACCAAACTCATCATTTCCCTCTGTACATTTTGAGCTGTAATAATATTGAGTTTCTGACTCAAATGTTGGCATGCGGGTTTATATTTTTTTCTTCCACTAGTTTGTTTTGATTGGTGTAGCCACAAACAATTACGCTGTTTAAAAATTTCCACTGTTTGTTTTCTAGCTGCTAATCACGCAAACAGTAAGTTGGTGGTAGGGATAAATATTTGGAACAAAAGTAAACATTTGGCAACAAGTAATAACGACGATTTAAATGTACACACATATGAATCGTGTGGCTTAATTCAAATCATAATTTTGGAGTATTAGTTTTCAAGGAAACGACGCCACGTCGTTTGAACTGAATCAACAAACTTTTATTTCATCAAAGCAAAATAGTTGTACTATTAATACATAAAACCAAAAAAGAAGTTTTATGAAAACTATACTATTAGGTAAAATAAATGGAGATTTAGTGATGTGGGAATAATCTTTAGTAGTGGCTTAGTGTTGAGGAAGGCCCGTCAATACCAACGCAGGTCCATAAGGGCCGATAAAATATTCTTTAGGCCTCTAGAGCTGAGCAAGATCTTCTAGTGTTGATTGATGTTTTGAAAACTAAACAGGATCTTCTAATCCGACCAAGAATCTTATACTTAATCGAGTATAGATGTATTAAATAAGGTTTGAGTTGAGCCGCTTAATCTGTTGACCACTACGTTCGAATCCGGTTCATAAATTTTCATTAATCCAGTTTTTTTTTGGGTATAAATATAAACATTAATCCAAAAGACAAAGAAAAAAGAGAGTCGCAATTTGAACTGTGGTACTTAGACATAGCAGACAAAGATGATACTACCAAAGAATCGTGTACAAATTTCCATAATTATGTCGATAGTAGATTGTAACGTCATACCGAATGTATATCCTTTTTGGCGTTGCTACGTAACTGACGTTACGCACCACTCAAATGATCAATATATTTTTTTTTTTAAAAAGAAAAAAACTTGAAACGAAGAGAATGCATCTCTGAAAACACAAAATATCCCCTTGATTATTTAAAAAACCAATGTTTTAGTTGCTTTATTACTATATTCTTAAAAAAAAAATCCCACGTTAGAATTCTATATATTTTACATTATATATTCATAGATTTTTTTTTAAACATTTTATGGACTTCACATTCAAAAGATCCAATATAATCGAGGAGTGTTGTTTTTGACCACCTAGGTGTTCAAAGTACACATCTTAGTTCTTAAGTTGGATAAGTCGAAAGCCAAAGAAACCAATTTTTAAATACAATCAACTTCAATTAATCCGATGATGAAATAATAACTTATTAATTTATTACCAGTTGGATAAGGTGATCTTAATGGCTACTATGTAATCACCGTACACTCTTGCAAGTTGAAAGCTATAGGAATCAACTTTAGGATACAACCAGAATCAAATAATCCATGGTCGAATCAGAAATTATGATGTTCTTGATAGGCGCACCAAAAGCCTGGCTAAACATAAATTCGCTTTTGAACAATTCGGATCATTTTGCCTAACTATGGTATCATATAATTGTATGATTCGATGGTTAAAATAAGATGGAACTATGCATTCCTATAAAATTTCACAATTTACATTAATTAAAACCATAAAAATTCACTGTTCCACATGAAAAAACTAAATTTATCCACACAACTAACAAAGATTTGTTCATCTTCTATATTCAAGAGGAATGAGAGGAAGAAAAATATTCCTTTAAAATTACATATATCTGTAATTATTTCATCTTTATTTACTAGTTCTTTTAAAGGTTACAATCTATATCCTATAACTTGATGGATGATAACATAGATCCTGTGCGAGAGTATGATAAACGTTGATATAAACTAGCATTTGAGTTCCAGACCTTTCACTAATCGGCAGATAGTGTAAAACACTGTCGAGAATAACCTAGCTACATATAAGTGATTTGGATTCCCAGAAATCCTTGCTAATTGCTGCTCCGTCAAAAGAGGAGATCCGATCTGCCTTGTTCTCTATCCATCCTGATAAGGCGCCGGGACCAGATAGTTTTCCTGCAAGTTTCTTTCAGACAAATTGGGCAGTTGTTGGGGATAAGATCACTGAGGAATTTCAAACCTTCTTCTCCACAGGGGTGCTTTCAAGATCCATCAATTGTACCCATGTCCGCCTCATTCCCAAAGTTCAAAGCCCGAAAAGGGTATCTGAGTATCGGCCGATTGCACTGTGTAATGTATATTACAAAATAATATCCAATGTGCTTACCAGAAGACTTTAACCGCTGTTAAACTCGATCATCTCCGAATCCCAGTCTGCATTTGTCCCTGGACGGGCCATTTCAGACAATGTGTTAATCACACACGAAACTCTCCACTACTTAAAAGGATCAAAAGCGACCAAGCATTGCTCAATGGTTGTAAAAACAGATATGAGTAAAGCCTATGACAGACTAGAATGGAGCTTTATTGTGGCGGTCCTTGAACGATTTGGGTTTCATGCAAAGTGGATTAACTGGATCTTTCAATGCATATCTACAGTCTCCTACACTTATCTGATTAATGGGACAGCACAAGGTGATGTCTTACCCCAAAGAGGCGTCAGACAAGGAGATCCGCTATCTCCTTATATCTTCATACTCTGCGGAGAGGTTCTATCCGGGCTATGCCACAATGCTCAATCCAGTGGTCGATTTCTGGGCATTGGTGTATCCAGACGAAGCCCCAAAGTTAATCATCTGCTCTTTGCTGACGATACAATGTTTTTCAGTAAGACATCCGACCTCAGCTGCCATACCCTGCTCGAGATCCTCACGAAATACGAATCTGCTCCTGGCCAAATGATAAACAAACAGAAGTCAGCGATTATCTTTTCTGGCAAAACACCACAACACATCAAAGATAGGGTCATGCTGGTTCTCGGTATTGACAAGGTTGGTGGCCAAGGTAAATACCTGGGATTGCCTGAGAGTTTTGGAAGAAGGAAAAAAGATCTGTTTACCTCAATAGTAGACAGAATAAAACAACGCTCTACCAACTGGTCAAACCGATTTCTGTCTGCAGCAGGCAAGCTAACCCTGCTTAAATCAGTCCTCTCTGCGATTCCTACTTACTCGATGACATGCTTCAAGCTTCCTGCCAGCTTGTGTAAACGTATCCAATCTGCACTGACTCGTTTCTGGTGGGACTCCAAGCCGGGCCAGAAGAAGATGGCCTGGGTCTCCTAGAAAAGACTCGCGAAATCCAAAAGAGAAAGAGGCTTAGGTTTCCGAGATATCCAATGCTTCAACATTGCTCTTTTGGCTAAATAGACCTGGCAGATACTTACTAAGCCTGACTGTCTTCTTGCAAGAGTCCTCAAAGGGAAATACTTTGAGGATTCCCATCTCCTAAAAGTTCCAGCGGCTTCGAATATCTCTCATGGATGGAGAGGACTTTTAGAAGGACGGGATCTCTTTCTCAAGCAATTGGGCAAGTCTATCGGCAATGGCAAAACCACATCTCTATGGAACGATCCCTGGCTATCCTGAAATAGACCGACTAAACCAATGGGACCTGCACATCAAGAGACAAGCGATCTGATGGTATCGGACTTAATGATCGATTCTTCAGGCCAATGGGATGTAAGGAAGATAGAGGAAATCCTACCTCACCATATGAATGACATCCTCAGTATCAAACTAAGCAATCAGGGAGCTGAGGACGCTTTCGTTTGGCTCCCAACGAAGTCAGGCACCTACTCCTCGAAATCAGGATACCATACGGCGCAGGAACCCTCGCATGAAGCTCCTGAACAGCAACGAGACCTCTCCTGGCAGGCCGATATATGGAGCACCAAAATTCCACCTAAGTTAAAGCTGTTCCTCTGGAAAATTGTCCAACAAGCGCTACCATTAGGTGAAAATCTCCTAAACAGAGGACTACCTGAAGATCCTGGCTGCATTCGTTGTGGCGAACTCGAATCCGCAGAGCATATCTTCCTCCAGTGCCCTTTTGCCCGCGCAGTGTGGAATGCAGCTCCAATTGATCCTTCTTTCAACCCCGCTGCTTTCCCTAGCTTTCCGGCGACGCTTGCTGCGTCAAAGCATTTGAAATGTCTGCCACCGACGGGAATTGGGTTTGGACCTCTTATCCCTTGGATATGTTGGACCCTATGGAAAACCAGGAACTGGCTCGTCTTCGAAGACAAACACTTCTCGCCGAGCGAGACCATTGTCAAAGCGACCATCGATGCCCGGGAATGGCAATTGGCCCAATCTACTGAATCCAAGCATCCCCACTCCGCTTCAAATCTCGACAATCTCTCGATCTCCCATGGCACTATCTCCTGCTTCACCGACGGTTTATGGAATGGGCTGGACTTTCCGAAATGACGCTGGTATTGAGATCGCGATGGGCCAAGCTTCTGCCCCCTTCGTCGACAGCCCTCTCATCGCAGAAGCCCTGAACCATGGATTACGCCTGGGAATCACCTCGCTCGCCATCAAATCCGACGCTCAACTCCTACTATGAGCTATCAACGCGCATGATCAACTTAAGGAGATCTATGGACTCCTCTTCGACATTCATGTCCTATCGTCTTCCTTTCGTGTTGTTTCGTTTTCTTACATCGCTAGATCTGAGAATGGAAGAGCAGATGCTCTAGCCAAACTATCACTTGATTTTCTTCATAGATCTTAGTCATTGTAATCTTTATGATTTCATTTAATGAATGTTGTTAAAAAAAAAAAAGTGATTTGGATTTGTATCATTATGTTTTTTGCATTGATCAATTTGACTAGCTATGAATCGACATTAGAAACATGTTGGCATTTGGATAACAACATAATCTGGAATTGTGATATTTGAACGTTAGAGAGAATTTAGGTCGATTGCTGATATATTTAGCCGGTTCATCACCTATCGCGTATCCCTTACTGGAGTCTAAGTAGTGGATTATCTTCATTTCCCAATTGTCGTTGTTCTCGGCCATTTTTAATCAATAGGTTTCGACTAATTAATAAAAAAAAAAGATACAATTGTGGAAAAATAGTTTGTATTCCAAGAGAAACGCTGACAAACATTAACAGATGAAAACTTTAAATTAGAATCAAGATTGACTTCTAGTAGAGACGAGAAGTCAAACCTAACCAAGATTAGCATTACAAAACCTTTAATAAACCTGTTAATATCATAATTCATGCACACTTTTAAACTTATATATTATATACAAACCAACAAACGCATCATTTATTCATTTGATATAATCTTCAACAAGTTCTGCGTTATCCATGCTTTGATAACTAATCATTTTTTTTGTTGGTTTTAAAAGTTAAAAGGATGAAAATGTGAAATGCTAGCTAGTATTATACATGATTCGATAAAACATAGTTTGTTTCATAATTTATTCTTTATTTGGAGAATGTTAATCGACTCGAACTTGATTCACGTTGTTTGTACGAGTTTAGGAAAAACCAAAGTCTTCGATTTGCCAAGATGTTAGGGTTCAATACAATTTAATAAATAAAAAAATATACAATTTCACAAAAAGAAGGAAATACAACATGTTCTGCAAAAATGATCTGAGAATAAAGAAAAAAAGTTAAGGTTCAAAATTTAATATTTTCAAAGATGAGAGTTTTATCTACAATAAACTTTAAAGTTATCAGAGCAGTTAAACCCAACCTAAACCCTTCCACAATTCTCGCGCCGCCTCCTGTGTGTCTCTCAATAATCTCCATCAATTCGCTCAGGCAAGCTTCTTCGAGGTTTAAATTGTAAAGTTTTTGCTAATTCGAGTTGATCATGTGACGTAGAAACCCTAATTTCGGTATCATTTTGCAGTCACACAGTCTCAAGAACCTCAGAACCGGACTTGCTTGAGAGCAAAAACCCTACTCATGGATGTCAAAGAGAAGAAGAAAGACACGGTTCCAAAGATCGAAGACTTTACGGAGCTTCACAATCTGGTCACGCATCACATAGAATCGTTCGATTACATGACAGAGAAAGGACTCGCTGTTATGTTCAGTCGAATCAAACCCGTTACAGTTTACGAACCATCCACTGAGAGGAAGCTGAGCAATATCCTTTTCTTTTGATTATACTGTTTCCATGTCCTTTGATGCATAAGTTGTTCTTACCTTAGGTCTTTAGGTTAAGTTACTGTCAGTTTCATACCATTTCCTCCTTGTTTCTTGCTCTAATGCGATCCTTTATATGGCTTTATAATGTTGAATTTTGTCTTCTGTCTGATTCCTTGACGAATGATACTCTGGTTAGAGGACCCTAGAGTTTACTCTCCTCAGAAGGAGAGTTTGAGGTCAACATCAAGGAAAGAGGCTTTGTTTCCCTTTGAGGTGAAATGGCTTTTGTTTTTAAGATGGTTTCTGACATATTATAGGTTGTATATGGTGGAGTAATACTGTTTGTTTTGGCTTCTTGGATAACAGTGTAGGCAGGCGAAGATTTCTTACACGGGATCGCTTATGGCTGAAATTTGCTTTAGATATGATGAGGATGAATACGTCGTGAGAGATAGATATGAGTTTGGGGAATTTCCTATTATGCTGATGGTGGGTGATCTGTTCATTTGGTTTTTTCTATCTACTATTTTTTTATATTAATCCTCTATCCCTGAAGATATGTCGATTACAAGTGTATGTAAGATATTATAATGCTGGCTGATAAGCGAGAGTCACTTCTCTGGCTGGATGCTTTGATATGTCAATTTGGCTCTTATAAGTTATAACTAACAATGGAATAAAGCATAGCTCTCAGTGATTTCTCAGAAATTTACAACTCTCTCTTTCCTTTTGTTATTATAACAAGTCTTGATTAATGGGTTAATAGAGGTTGATCTCCGTACTTTCGTGCAGTCAAAGCTCTGCCATTTACGGGGTGCTGATTGCCGGCAACTGTTAAAGTATAAAGAGTCAACTTCTGAAATGGGAGGGTAAATGTTCATCCATCTCTCATGCCTTATGTTATAGCCACTGCGGTGTTTGTGGTTGATATATGCCAAGTGTTTCCGGGTTTTTTCTTCTAAAGTGTATTTTTGTATGCATGAAAACTTTGTTGGGATTTTTTTCACATCCTGTATTGGTTAAGTACAATGGAATCTAGGGTGGGATTAAGAACGACCCTTTTGCCTATGACTTAGTATAAAATGTTATCTGTATATGGCATTCATATAGCTCTTGATATGTCTTTCTTTCTTTAAGTCCAAACATGATAATAATGTTAGCTTTTTTTCAAATAGGTACTTTATTTTGAATGGGATCGAGAGGGTGTTCCGATGTGTTATTGCACCAAAGCGGAACCATGTAAGCTGCCTGTGATTTCAACGTCTGCTTTTTAACTTTCAATAATTGCGGTATAAAGTGTACGGGTAAAATGTATTTCATGAACTTCCTTGAATCATATATTTCTCTCAGAATTTAACCGAATAAGAATCTTCTGTAGCCAACGGGTATGGTGCGGAACTCATTCTGTGGTCGCCGGGAAGGATACAGTGATAAGGCAGTTGCCATTAGGTATGTGAAGTTCATCTCTTTCCTATGAAGGTGCATATAATAATGTCAATCTTCACTAATTAACAATATATGTTAAAGAGTTCTTCAAGCGGGTCTTTCTTCTTAATTTTGCAGGTGTGTTAGGGACGACCAGTCATCTGTCACTGTTAAACTGTATTATCTTCGAAATGGAAGTGCTAGAGTTGGATTTTGGTGAGTGTTAACTCGATGTGTGGGAAAATGGAAGACATTACCTACGTTTGAGCTACACGTTAAACTTATTTCTAATGGACGCAGGATAGGGGCAAGGGAATATTTGCTTCCTGTTGGCGTTGTTCTCAAGGTATGGTCTTAGTGACTATAAAGTATCCGTCTCCGAGCATAACATTATTTGATGCGAAGGGTTTAGTATAGGCTTACAAGCGACATATTTTGGGGATTCGTCTGGATGTGTTTTTTCTGTTAGTCAATTTCTTCTATTTAGGTGTTTTCCCTCCATTTTTCATGTCTGGCATCATATGTTCCTAGGCTCTCACTGAAACCAACGATGAGGAAATATACGAAAACTTGACCTGTTGCTACAATGAGCGTTACGGAAGAGGCGACGGAGCTATTGGAACCCAACTCATTCGTGAGAGATCCAAAATTATTCTTGATGAAGTGAGAGACTTGGGTCTTTTTACCCGAGATCAGTGCCGGAAATACTTAGGTAATTTAACTGTCTCAGTGTTATGTACACGTATATCGAAAAATATAAGCTAATGTTATACTTTTTAAACCAACAGGAGAGCGTTTTCAACCTGCTCTTGATGGGCTAGAAAAAGAAAGCTATCCTACTGTAAGTTTATTTGATCATTCTTAACTTCCCCAATTGGTTACATCGCTACAAAAGAATTTTCTGTCTGCGAAACAGTTTCTTGCAGTTGTTATCATTTATATACGAGTATTGTGATGAAAAAGTAATTAACTTCTTCAAGATTGGCTTTTGGCTCTCAGCTTCGTTGGACTGAGTTCTAATTACTTGTAATCTATCTAAAAACTTTTGTCTCTTCATTCTTATATATTTAGGTTGCTGAAGCCGTGCTCAAGAATTATATATTTGTTCACCTTGACAACGATGACGACAAGTTCAATTTGCTCATGTAATTTCTTGCTTTTGCCTCATGATGGCTTTTTTTGTCAAGTTTTTTTGTGTGTGTTATTGTATCAACCTTTTCTTTTTGTTTTCGCAGCTTCCTAATTCAGAAGCTCTTTTCTCTGGTGGATCAGACTTCTTTACCGGACAATCCGGATTCTCTGCAAAATCAGGAAATTTTAGTCCCCGGTCACCTTATAACAATTTACCTCAAGGTATATAATTATCTTCCCATATGGTAGAAACATCCATCTTGAAGCCCATCTAAGAGCATCAGAGCATGTGATTTCGACATTGTCCATGTTTCTAAATATGTGTGTTTCTATTTTGAATAACCATGAAGTGTTGTGTTTACTAGAGAAAGATATTTGTTCATAACAAGGAGTTAGTTGACGTCGCATGCATTGGTTTTCTAGGAAAAACTCGAAGAGTGGCTGCGGAAGTGCAAAAGTCTTATTGAAGATGAGTTCAACAGAAGCAAGAAATTTTCCTTTGAGACAAGTAAGTCACTTTCACTTTGTTATCCTTGTTCAATGTTCTTATCTCCCGCATTCCTTGAAACTATATGAAACTCATTATTTTTGCTATATCCACATTTATCTCTGCATGAATTTTTGATTGTCCTCTTCCACAGAAATCTTGTTAACCAAGTGTCGTGTGCTCTGTGATGATTCCTTAATTGAATGCAGTTGCTGATGTCAAGAAGATTATTAACAAAAATCCTCCCAGGAGTATTGGTATGTCAATTGAAACATTGTTGAAATCAGGAAGGCTTAATACGCAGTCTGGTTTGGATTTACAGCAGGTAAGCACTTGAGAGATCACTTGCTTGGGAACCTATAATCTTTTGTAGCTAAGCTCCTTCAACTATGTAGTTTGATAGAACAATACTAATATCTCGTTTCTCAATTCTTCACCAGAGAGCAGGTTACACTGTGCAGGCTGAGAGACTGAACTTTCTCCGTTTCCTCTCATTTTTCCGGGCTGTTCATCGTGGTGCTTCTTTTGCTGGACTTCGTACAACAACTGTGAGGAAGCTGCTTCCTGAGTAAGTTTCTGTCACTTTGTACCTACTGAACTCCAGATGTGAATGATGCGGTCACCAAAATAGTTTTGCCTTCACAATGTTCCTGTTATATTTTGATATTGTAGATCTTGGGGTTTTCTTTGCCCTGTTCACACTCCTGATGGGGAACCCTGTGGATTACTGAACCATATGACTCGTACTTGCCGTGAGTTTCTTAGCTCTCTTTTTCACTTATCAATTCAGTACGATGTCTTAAATTCAGCAATTTTTTTGACTTGAAAATCGGTTAGACCAAGTTGGAGTTTACATGCTTTACTTAAGCTTTAAGATTTTATATGGAATCATGTTTAGTGAGAGTTTGCTATATTACTCGAGGAACCCTATTGTAGACTGTAGTTTCAAGTTATATATATGTATATATATATATATATATTAGATCAGTAATATACTATTATCTAAATATCAGGTCTTTTTGTGGTTGCAATTTATATGCATAAATTTCTGGGTCTGGGCATTTTTAAACATTTTAAGACTGCGCATACTTGCCATACCGTACAATATGCCACTTCTTTTGCTGTAATAACTTTGCTTATTATGTTCTGGTTGGTCATGGTGTTTTTAGGAATCACTTCTCAATTCGATTCCAACGGAAACATCAGAGATTTTCTGAAAATAAGAAAGTCAGTTGTTGATGTTCTTGTTGGGGTTGGAATGGTACCTTCATTGCCAAAACTTGTACGAGCTGGACCACCAAAAGTAATTACTGTTCTTTTAGATGGTCAAGTTGTGGGATCACTATCGTCTAACTTAGTTACGGAGGTTGTCGCTTATTTGCGGAGACTGAAAGTGGAGGCTCCTTCAGTGGTAAGGCTTTGTCTGGTTCCTAACAATACAGTATTTGCTGACTGTAAACTTTTTCGTTAGAAGTGAACTATTTATCTGAATGCTATTCTACAGATTCCCGAAGACCTCGAAGTGGGATATGTACCTACAAGCATGGGTGGATCTTATCCTGGATTGTATTTGGCATCATGTCCTTCAAGATTCATTAGGCCTGTTAAAAATAATTCTGTTCCCTCTGACAATATTGAGCTAGTTGGACCATTTGAGCAGGTAGCAAAACCCAAGGATTTGCTCTCCACATCCATCTTTTTTGTGTACATCCAAATTAAAATATATATTCTTTTCTCCCACATCAGGTTTTTATGGAAATAAGCTGTCCTGATGGTGGCAATGGAGGAAGGAATAACTCTTCTACAGCAACTCATGAGGAAATTCATCCAACAGGAATAATAAGTGTAGTAGCTAATCTTACACCTTGGTCAGATCATAATCAAAGTCCACGTAACATGTATCAGTGTCAGGTACGTACTATTATATTAATGAAAGTTTGTACTCAGTTATGTTAGTGGAAGCATGTGTTTAAGATTTAATGCAATACAGATGGCGAAACAAACCATGGCGTACTCTACTCAAGCACTCCAATTTCGTGCTGACCAGAAGATTTACCACTTGCAGGTCAGTTCTAATTTACATTTATGCTCTTAGAAAGCAGAAGTACATGCTACAATGTTCATTTAATCATTTCCTCTTTTGGTCCCATGTCTTGTAAAATTATATGTGTATGACACAGACTCCTCAATCCCCCGTGGTGCGCACGAAAACATACACCACGTACAGCATTGATGAGAATCCAACAGGGACTAATGCAATAGTTGCTGTCCTGGCTCATACTGGGTAAGAAATTGTTTTGGCGTGTAAGAGTTTGCTAATGACACACTTCTTCTTTTAATATCTTCTTATGCCTTTTTCTACCTATCTGTCTCACAGATTTGATATGGAAGATGCTATGATTTTGAACAAATCATCTGTGGAGCGGGGGATGTGCCATGGGCAAATATATCAGGTTCGAGCTACCAATTTCAATTTTTGTTATTAAGCATTCAGAAGAAATCTTTGGATATGGTGCTTAAGCGTAGTTGCAATGAACTTTCTTTTGATCTGCAACTTTAATTTAAGCCTGGTCATTGTCCTCTGGATTCGTTTCTTTATGGAACCCGGAAAGTATAATCTTGTAGTTGCAGAGAGGGGTTACTTATCATCATACAAATTACTCAGCATTTCTCTTCTGTGAATTTCTTACCCTTGTCCTCATAATCGTGCAGACAGAAACTGTTGATCTGTCAGATCAGAGAAGCCGATCGGATAATGGTAATCAAAGTTTCAGGAGAAGTAAAGTTGACAAATCAGCTCATTCTTGTATTGATGCTGATGGGTTGCCATATATTGGACAGGTAAAATCATTGCTTTCCATCCTCTTGATGTGCTGTAGACTTATTCTGTAATTCTAGTTTCCTTGTTAACATCCACAAAACTCTGATGCACAGAAAATATATCCAAATGAGCCGTACTGTAGTATCTATGATGGGGTAACTAACTCGATAAAGACCATGAAGCGAAAAGGCACCGACCCTGTCATAGTTGACTTTGTCTCTGTTGACATGAAAAGCAAGAAGCATCCTCAAAAGGTGAATTAAACTCCTTCAACGGTCGCATAAACAGAGTCCTGTTTTGGTTAAATCTAATAAAAAGGTTCATGGCAGGCGAATATCCGATTTCGGCATGCCAGAAATCCCATAATCGGTGACAAATTCAGCAGTAGACACGGGCAAAAGGGTGTTTGCTCGCAATTGTGGCCTGATATTGATATGCCATTTAACGGAGTTACTGGAATGCGTCCAGATCTCATCATTAACCCGCATGCTTTCCCATCAAGAATGACAATCGCTATGCTTTTGGAATCTATTGCTGCCAAGGTATCCTTAGAAATTGGTCTGATTCTCAGGTTGCTCAGACACTGATGCTATGCATCTTATTTTTGCGTCTGTTTTAACCAACTTATATTGTTATTCCGCTGGTAAGTATTTGTAATGTTATCCTCGTGTTCTACAGGGAGGTAGTTTGCGTGGAGAGTTTGTAGATGCAACGCCGTTTCGTGATGCAGTAAAAAAACCAAACGGAGAAGAGGAGAGCAAATCCAGTCTGCTTGTTGATGATCTTGGTTCCATGTTGAAGGAAAAAGGATTCAACTACTATGGGACAGAGACATTATACAGTGGGTATTTAGGAGTAGAGCTGAAGTGTGAGATATTTATGGGGCCTGTTTACTACCAAAGACTACGTCACATGGTCTCAGACAAATTCCAGGTTTTTGGATCCCTCTGTAAAACTCTCCAACTTGCAATTCTCTCATCTTGGAGCTTTGTCTGAGTCATATATTCTGGCTTGCAGGTTAGATCCACAGGACTAGTGGATCAGCTAACTCGTCAGCCAATCAAGGGAAGGAAACGAGGGGGAGGGATTCGATTTGGTGAAATGGAAAGAGACGCAATGCTTGCTCATGGAGCTTCGTATCTATTACACGACAGGCTCCACACCTCATCAGATCACCACATTGCAGATGTGTGTTCGCTATGTGGAAGCTTGCTCACATCTTCGGTTGTGAACGTTCAACAGAAGAAGCTGATTCAAGATATTGGAAAGTTACCTCCTGGCAGGACTCCAAAGAAGGTAACTTGCGATTCGTGCAAGACAAGCAAAGGGATGGAAACTGTTGCAATGCCATATGTGTTCAGGTACTTAGCTGCAGAATTGGCGGCAATGAATATTAAGGTGACTCTTCAGTTAAGCGGCAGAGAAGGAAGCGATAGAAAAGTAGTCTAAATTCGCAGCGATTTCACTGGGCACATGCTGTATGTACATCAAAGTTTTCATCTTCTCAAAGACTGGAACAAAAAACTGTCTGAAAATTCTGACGGATGAAGATTTAACACCAGAGCAAGATCGAGAATCGGATCTCACAATGTAACAGAGTCGTTCATTAGAAGAATGCATTGTTATTAGTTATTGTTTTCAATGGTTAGTATCTTTTTCTTGTGTGAAACGTTGTATTTGTGATACTTGAAGCGATTGTCTTAAACATTGATGTATGATTAGTATGGATAAAATAAAACCAATGGATTTTTGATCCTTGAATACCATTGACTTGATTGGTGACATGTTCAATTAAATTGCCTAGTTCTTGGGAATAACCTCTGCAATTCAATTCCATTACTGATAAATCATACAAAGAATTGCAAAATTTACATCTAAGTATGATAAAAGTCGCTCTACCAAAGCGTTGTTGCTGACTGGATCAGCCAAAATGGTCAGCAAACTGTCCATTAACCGGTGAGTACCGAACTCAATATATATACATATATAAAATAAGGGGATATATATAAATTAAACCCTTCTTAATTTTTTTCGCGCCGCCTTGTGTCTCTCCCTCTCCACTGCAACTCCTCAGGCAAGATTCTTTGAGACCGAATTGTAAAGTTTTGACTTGTTACTTGCGACGTAGGAAAAACCCTAAATAATAGTGTCCCTTTTGCAGTCTGCACAACCTCAGAATCGGCCTCGCTAGAGAGCAAAAACCCTAATCATGGTTGACAAACTGAAAGACTCGGTTCCAAAACTCGAAGACTTTAAGGAGCTTCACAATCTCGTCACGCATCACATAGAATCGTTCGATTACATGACGGAGAAAGGACTCGCTGTTATGTTCAATCGAATCAAGCCCGTTTCGGTTTACGATTCTGGGAACAAGCTGAGCAATATCCTTTTTTTTTTCTTCTGTCAATACCGTTTCTCATGCATAATCTGTTCTTACCTGAGGTCCTAGGTTTAGTTACTGTCAATTCACACCATTGATTGAGTTCTAAGAACTTGGTTTAGTTCGCTTTCCTCGTTTCTAGCTCTAATTCTATCCTCTGTGCTCTATGGCTCCAGATGGGCTTTCGTAATGTTGAATTTTGTGTGTTTTGTCTGATTTCTTAACGAATATGATACTCTGGTTAGATAACCCTGTAGTGTACCCTCCTCAGAAAGAGAGTCCCAGTTCAACATCAAGGCAAGAGGCTTTGTTTCCCTTCGAGGTAAAGTTTATTGTGTTTAAAATGTTTCCTGGCATATTAATGTTACATTTGGTGGAGAGTAATACTGTTTGTTTTGAATAACAGTGTAGGCAGGCGAAGATTTCTTACACGGGAAAGCTTATGGCTGAGGTTTGCTTACAATACAATGACGAACCACCAGTCATTAGAGATAAATTTGATTTCGGGGAATTACCTATTATGCTGATGGTGGGTGAAATGTTCGTTTGGTTTTCCTACTAATTTCTTATGATTCTCTCTCCATTCCTGAAGATGTGTCGTATTACAAGTGTATGTAAGATATTTTAATACTGGATTGTAAACCAAAACGTTGCCGTGGTGCCAATAAGCGAGAGTCACTTATAACTAACAATAGAACAAAGCTTAGCTCTCAGTCATTTCTGTTAATTCCAAAATTCTCTCTTTACTTTTCTTATTATGACAAGCCTTGATTAATGGGCTAATGGAAATTGATCTCCGCACTTTTGTGCAGTCAAAGCTCTGCAACTTACGGGGTGCTGATTGCCGGAAACTGTTAAAGTATAAAGAAGCAACTTCTGAAATGGGAGGGTAAGTCTTCATCCATCTCTTATGCCTTATGATATAGCCACTGCAGTGTATGTGGTTGATATATGCCAAGTGTTTCTGGGTTTTCTTTCTAAAGCGTATTTTTTGGGCTTTTGTTTATTACATCCTGTATTGTTTTATGAATGCCATATACGCATACCCATTGTTTCATATTAATAAAAAATGTAACGGGTATATGGCATTCATATAGCTCTTGAAATGTCTCTTTTTCTTTAAGTGCGATCATGATGATAATGTTAGCTTTCTTTCACATAGGTACTTTATTTTGAAAGGGATTGAGAAGGTGTTCCGATGTGTTATTGCACCAAAGCGGAACCATGTAAGCTGTCTCTGATTTCAACTTCTGCTTTTTAGCTTTCAATCACTGCGTATAAAGTTTATTGGTAAACTGTATTCTGTGAACTTTCTTGCATCACATATATCTCTCAGAATTTAACTGACTAAGAATCTTATGTAGCCAATGGGTATGGTACGGAATTCATTCATTCATCGCCAGGAAGGATTCAGTGATAAGGCAGTTTCTATTAGGTATGTAAATTTCATCTCTTTCCTATGATGGTTCATATAATAACGTCAATCTTCACCTTAAGTAGCAATATATCTTAAAGAATTCTTCAAGCAGTTCTCTCTTTTTTATTTTCTAGGTGTGTTAGGGACGACCAGTCATCTGTCACTATTAAACTGTATTATGTTCGAAATGGAAGTGCCAGAGTTGGATTTTGGTGAGTGTTAACTCGGTGTGTGGAATATGGAAGACATTACCTACAATATGAGCTACTCGTTAAACTTATTTCTAATGGACACAGGTTAGGTGGAAAGGAATATTTGCTACCTGTCGGCATTGTTCTCAAGGTATGGTCTTAGTGATGACTGTCAAGTATCTGTCTCCAATATCATGAGAACAGAACTTTATTTGAGGCGAAGTGTTGTTTTTTGGGGTTTACATACGACATCTTTTGGGGGTTCTTCAGGATTTGTGTTTTTTTCTGCTATTCAATTTCTTTTCTTTTCTTTTCAGTTCTCCAATTTTCACATCTGTCCTCATGTGTTCCTAGGCTCTCACTGAAACCAACGATGAAGAAATATATGAAAACCTGAATTGTTGCTACAATGAGCGTTTTGAAAGATGCGATGGTGCTATTGGAACGCAACTAGTTCGTGAGAGATCCAAAATTATTCTAGATGAAGTGAGAGACTTGGGTCTTTTTACCCGGGACCAGTGCCGGAAGTACTTAGGTGACTTACCTGTCTCAGTGTTTATGTACACATATCTCGAAACTTGTAAGCTAATGTTTCACTTTCTAAACCAACAGGAGAGCGTTTTCAACCTGCTCTTGATGGGCTAGAAAAAGAAAGCTATCCTACTGTAAGTTTAGTATCATTCTTAACTTCTCCATTTTGCTTCATCACTACAAAAGAGGTTGCTGTTTGCAAAACTGTTTCTTTGCATTTGTTATCATTTACATATGATCAGGTATTTTGAATAAACTTCTTCAGGAGTGGCCTTTGGCTGCTAGCTTTTTTGGACTGGGTTCTAATTATTACTTGATATATCTACAACTGATAACAGTAGTCCTTTTTGAAAACTTTTGTCTCTGCATTCTTATTCATTTAGGTTGCTGATGCCGTGCTGAAGAATTATATATTTGTTCACCTTGACAACGATGACGACAAGTTCAATTTGCTCATGTAATTTCTTGCTTTTGCCTCATGATGGCTTTTTTGTCAAGTTTTTTTTGTGTGTTATTGTGGTCAACCTTTTCTTTTTGTTTTCGCAGCTTCCTAATTCAGAAGCTCTTTTCTCTGGTGGATCAGACTTCTTTACCGGACAATCCTGATTCTCTGCAAAATCAGGAAATTTTAGTCCCCGGTCACCTTATAACAATCTACCTCAAGGTATATAATCATCTTCCCATATGGTAGAAACATATATCTTAATGCACATGTAAGAGCATGTGATTTCGTCAATATCCATGTTTCTAAATATTGTACGTTTCTATTTTGCATAACCATGAGTGTTGTGTTTACTAGAGAAAGATTGTTGACGTCGCATGCATTGTTTTTTAGGAAAAACTTGAAGTGTGGCTGCGGAAGTGCAAAAGTATTATTGAACAGGAGTTTGGTAACAACAAGAGCAAGAAATATTCTTTTGAAAGCCGTAAGTCACTTTCATTTTGTTATCCTTGTTCAATATTCTAAGCTTCCGCATTCCTTGAAACTATTTAAAACTCATTCTTTTTTTGCTATATCCACATTTATTTCGGCATGAATTTTTGCTTGTCCTCTTCCACAGATATGTTGTTTACTCAATCTCATGTGCTCTGTGATGATTCCTTGATTGAATGCAGATGCTGATGTAAAGAAGCTTATGAACAGAAATCCTTCCAGCAGTATTGGTACGTCAATTGGGACATTTTTGACAAGAGGAGAAATTCATACGCAGTATGGTTTGGATTTCCCGGAGGTAAGCATTTGAGTTAATCGCTTGCTTGCGAAGCTATATTCTTATGCAGATAAGCTCCTTTAGTATGATGTAGTTTAATAGAACAATACTAATATCTCGTTTCTCAATACCTTACCAGAGCAAAGGTTTCACTGTTCAAGCTGAGAGATTGAACTTTATCCGTTTCCTATCATTTTTCCGGGCGGTTCATCGAGGTGCTTCTTTTGCGGATCTTCGTACAACAACTGTGAGAAAGCTGCTTCCTGAGTAAGTTCTGTCACTTTGTAATTTGTACCTACTGAACTCCTGGTGTGAATGATGCGGTCACCAAAATAGTTTTGCCTTCACAATTTTTCTGTTTTATTGTGATCTTGTAGATCTTGGGGTTTTCTGTGCCCTGTTCACACCCCGGATGGAACACCCTGTGGATTACTGAATCATATGACTCGTACTTGCCGTGAGTGTCTCTAGCTCTCTTTTTCACTTATCAGTTTTTCTTCTTATATAAGTTGAGTATGATATCTTGAATTCAGCAACACTATTCTCTTGACTTGAAAATCGGTTATACCAAATCAGAGTTTACATGTGTTAGTTATGCATTAAATAAGAGATTTCACATAGAATCATGTTTAGCGAGAGTTGGTAATTGAGGAACGCTGTTATATATATATATATATATATATATATATATATATATATATATATATATATTAGCTCTTTTCTGGTTGCAATTAATATGCACAAATTTCCCGGTCTGGTCATTTTGTACCACCATAAGATTGCGCAGTCTTGTTATACTATTCAATTTGCCACTTCTTTGCAGTAACAACTTTGCTAATTATGTTCTAGTTGGTCATGGTGTTTTTTAGGAATCACTTCTCAATTTGATTCGAATGGAAACATCAGAGATTTTCAGAAGATAAGAAAATCGGTTGTTGATGTTCTGGTTGGGGTTGGGATGGTATGTTCATTGCCAAAACTTGTACGAGCTGGACCACCAAAAGTCATTCCTGTTCTTTTAGATG